ATGGTTTCCAAAGCCTAGAGGACTTTGCAGGACTGAAGGAGTCTCACCTCAATGAGCTGAACATCACCGATCCAGAGCAGCGCTCCAAGATCCTGAACGCCACCGAACTGCTCAGAGACTGTAGGTTCACACACTGTAAAACTGCAATACCCCTAATCTTTCATAATGATATTGCAGGCTAGCAATAATACCTATATAATTCAGAATTTCAATCAAATCTTAAGAAAATATCTCAATAAAAGTGAGTTAGGTACTGCTGATCAAATTTCAGTCACTTTGTGTCTGTGTGAAAATGTGTCTTTGGGGCATATTTTATGCTGGCATCATATTTTTCTGCCTCAGCTACATAATTTACATTTTATGGCTCAGTTGCACAGCATTACACTCAGAGGTCACAGTTGTGCTCAGTCGCCTGTAAGACATCCAACTTTGTCCTGTTATCTCGACCGGTCTCTTCTCCAGACTAATCATTAATTTAATGATTTGCCTGTCTGCACTATGACTTTTTTATGCTTTATTATTCTATGACATCTTATGTCTTACTATACTATGAGTTTTTTTCACCTTACTACACTGACATTTTATGACTTACTATACACTATTATTAGTAGTAAATCTAGTATCTATCGCTACATTAATTCCATTTTACTAATCAAAGATGAAAATGTGCTTTGACTTATGAGAAACACCATTCCCCAATAACAATGCATCAAGCATGACAATGTGAAAATAATGTGAAAATGTGAAATTTGTAGCTCATAGTGATGAACAATTATCACCCAAGTCTTTGAATTAATGATAACGTTGCTCTGTAAGTGCTGGATGTGTAAATAACAGTTTCTAACAAGTCGAAATAGCTAGAAATAGCTACTTAAAAGGTGACATTGTCAAGTTCACAACTGCTGCCCCCAAGTGGCCAAACAAACCTGTTATTGCAGGTTTAAAGTTTCTGAAGCTAAACAAGATGAAAAAGCCTCTATCTAGTCCGGGATTAATACAAAGGGATTGTATTGAGATACTCTGTATTAAAGTATAATTGTCTTTGTCCCATGTAGCTGATGAAGAGTCAGAGCCAGAGGAGGAGGACAGATCTGGGGAGAACAACAAGGAGCCAAGGGATTCAGGGTGTTTTGAGAGCTCAGAGAACCTGGAGAACGGACGTGAAGAGCCAAAGGCGAAGGAGAAGCTAAAAGATGAAGCATTGGAGGAGCAAACGACAAATGAAGAAGCAGAGAAACATGAGCAGGGTTCAGAAGAAAAGGAGAACCAGACAGAGCAGCTGGAGGCTGTTCAGGAGCAGCTGCAGGAGCTGACAGTGGACGAAGGATGTTGAGAAAGTGATGGAAAAATACTCAAACTTCTTTTATTCCTGGTTCTCAGGGACTCTTTGGACAGAGATTTAATTCATTAACAAACCTCCTCAGTGTAAGAGAGTGGACTGGTGATAGGAACAGATTGTAAGGCTGAAATACTGTATGAACATGTTCTCTGTTTTCCTCAGTTTGTGGTACTGTTAAGCAAACAGCACAATTTCTCTGTATCTGTCACTGCTGGCTGCCCTGTTTTGAATGACCATGTTTTTATATTGTATGAATTATCTTGTTTATTGTTGTTATTTCCTCATGTATGGTCTCTGTTTTTTAATGGTACAAATTAAGCATTTAAAAATTTTCCCTCTCTTCGTTATGTCGTCGTCTAACGTTCTCACTCACATGCAAAATATGAATGTAAAATATTTTCTGATGTTTTCATGCCTGACTCTTAACTTGAAAGTTGTTACTTTGATCAGTTTTGGTTTTAATCATGTTTTAAGATACATTACACTGATTTCTGTGACATGTTATCATGAGGATTTTGTGAAGATGCTGTAAATAGAATTAAAATAAAAGAAAATTCAGTGATATATTGTCGATCATGTAAGATAATTATTACTGTGTCATTCAAGTTATTGAAAAAATATTTAGTGAACTAAATATTATTATCAATCTACATTATTACTTACTAACTAGCTGTTTCCACAGCTTTGAAATACATCTCACAGTCTTGATCAGCAAATGGAGTTTGCACAGTAGTTGTCATCAGCCCTTTTCAATATGTGGTTGAAAGGTCTGGAAAAAGCTAGTAAGGGGAATGTGAGTTAAGATTATTTTGTCAAACTAGTGTTTTTCAAGAGTAAAGGTAAAATTTCAGATTTCACATTATGTATGGTGCAGGATCATCAGGCCAAACCCTCTTCTCCGTTGGTATGAGTTTCTTGTCACTTATGTTGGCTGCTTGAAAGCTCACACTAAACTCCCTCAGGGCTTTTATCTCGACTTTAGAAGGTGGGATCTGTGCAACACTGGACCAAGATAAATAATGACAGTTTAGCACATGAATCTTGCTACAATCATGTGATGAACATGGACAGATTATGAGACATGAGATGAGGGGATCCAGTGGCAACATGGCAACATAAAACATGATGATGGTTCCTTTGTTTTCACATTTGTGAAAATTACACATTCGGTTTCTTAGACTCTGTGGTAACTGGGACAGCCCTTTCAGATTAATTTTTTCGCCTAACACACACTGACATTTTTATGCCTTACTTTAATGGGACTTTTTATGCCTTAAAATACTATGAGTTTAATGCCTCAATATACTATGACATTTTTATGCCGTAATATATTATGGCATCTTATGCCTTACTTTACTATGAGTTTCTTTTCCTACTACACTCTGACATTTCATACTTTACTATAATATATCTTTATGACTTACTGTACTATTACTTTTTATGCCTTACTATACTATGAATTTTTATACCTTACTATACTACTAGATTTCATACCTTACTATACTATGACATTTAAAAACTTACTATACCAAGACATTTTTATGCCTTTATACCTTAATATACTATGACGTTTTTTGGCATTTTTCTGCCTTAATATACTTTCATGTTTGATGCCTGACCATACTATGACGTTTTTATAACCTTTTATGATTTAATATACTATGTCGTTTTTTGGCATTTTTCTGCCATACTATTTTTTGCTGTTTCTTTGCATTTTATGCCTTACTATACTATCTCCTTTGATGCCTGACCATACTATGATGTTTTTATGACCTTTTATGCCTTAATATACTATGATGTATTTTTGACGTTTTTTGGCATACTATACTATGTTGTTTTTTTTGGCATTTTTCTTCCATAAAATTTTTTGCCGTTTCTTGGCCTTTTATGCCTTACTATACTATCTCCTTTGATGCCTGACCATACTATGACGTTTTTATGACCTTTTATGCCTTAATATACTATGTCGTTTTTTGGCATTTTTCTGCCATACTATTTTTTGCTGTTTCTTTGCATTTTATGCCTTACTATACTATCTCCTTTGATGCCTGACCATACTATCATGTTTTTATGACCTTTTATGCCTTAATATACTATGATGTATTTTTGACGTTTTTTGCCATACTATACTATGTCGTTTTTTGGCATTTTTCTTTGATAAAATTTTTTGCCGTTTCTTGGCCTTTTATGCCTTAATATACTTTCACGTTTGATGCCTGACCATAATATGACGTTTTTATGACCTTTTATGCCTTAATATACTATGTTGTATTTTTGACATTTTTTGCCATACTATGCCGTTTTTTGGCATTTTTCTACCTTGAAATGTTTTGCCGTTTTTTGGCATTTTATGCCTTAATATACTTTCAAGTTTGATGCCTGATGATACTTTGACGTTTTTATGACCTTTTATGCCTTAATATACTATGTTGTATTTTTGACGTTTTTTGCCATACTATACTATGTCGTTTTTTGGCATTTTTCTTCCATAAAATTTTTTGCCATTTCTTGGCATTTTATGCCTTAATATACTATCTCCTTTGATGCCTGACGATACTATGACGTTTTTATAACCTTTTATGATTTAATATACTATGTTGTATTTTTGACGTTTTTTGCCATACTATACTATGCCGTTTTTTTTGGCATTTTTATGCCTAATTATATTATTTCATCTCATGCCTTGCCATACTATGACGTTTTGATGACCTTTTATGCCTTAATATATTATGATGTTTTTTTGACCTTTTTTTGCCATACTATTTTTTGATGTTTTTATGCCTTATTGTGCTTTGGAATTTTATACCATATCATACAATCACTTTTTATGCCTTACTATACTATGACATTTTTATACCTTACTATAGTATGACATTATATTCCTTACCATACTATGTAATTTTTATGTTAAATCCTTTACTTCAATCGGTTTTCCTGTCACATGGTTGCTTTACATTTGTGGCAATGAGCGAATTACACAGTCAGTCTCATGGACCCTGCAGCCACACATTTCAGATGAACTTTTGACTGACCAATCTGGGTACTACTGGGCCTGTGCCATCAACAGTTCAATAACAGAGCCCTTTGTATTTTCTATGGGACAGAAGTGAATCACATCAAGAAACTGTGGTTAAGTAAGCAGCACTAAATATGCCTGCAAGATTTAAAACAGATCCAATAAGAGCAAAAGGCAAAAGTGGCACAGTAATCTAACAAAATATTCATGAAGAGGTGGCCAGCTGCAACACTGCTAGCATGGCTAAAAAGCTACAAAATGTATGAGTAAAAGCCACCATGCACAAAAAGCATTGATCCACCACATAATCAGTTGTAGAAGTGGATCACTGTTGGGTCAGGAACATCGTTTCTTCTAGCTGTTTATTCCGCCTTTATAAGACCATGTCTCCTATTTCAGTCTGCAAAAACCCTTCTCCCCATGTATAATGCCACTGCTTTGAAAGATGACCTCCAGAGGAAATTGAATTCACACTCCTGTTTGTAGTTATCCGGGGGCACAAATCTACCTGTATACAAACAGGTCCTCTGTTGAATATTTATTAATAGCGGATGAGCTGACAGACGAGCTGTCTCCTCAGGACATCTTATACCACCAACTCCAGTCCCAAGAAAATGTCTTTTAGACAAAGACGAAGACAAATAATAATAAGACAATATTGTTTATTTACCAGACACACTGATCATGTAAAAAGAAGTGAAGTAAATTGAATGAAATACATATAATCACAGTGTTGATACTAAACAAAGTGAACATAAATTAGAGCTCCATCAATGGTATAGTACTGTATCTGTATACATAATGCAATGTAATAGATTGATCAGAGCATTCAGATCTGATCCTGTCATGGCATTTAAACACATGATATAACACACATACAACAGCTCAGCTCGGTCGCTCGACAGTCTGCAAAACCCTTAGAATCAAAAAATCAAAGTTCAACTGTCCCTTTTAAATCTGCTTTGAAACTGTTGAAACAGGAATTCATCACAAACGTCCCTTCTTTTATCGAATATCAGTCACATACATTCTTGCTTCTCGGTGACAGCGTCGCAAATCGATCAGATAGAAACCGTCCTCAAATACCTTCCACAGAGAAAATCCACTGAAACTGGTCCTGGTTTAGTACTTCTCACTGAAAATTGAACATTTTTTGGAGATTCTTTCCAACAAACATTCAGTAGTTACACTTGTTTACTTCACGGAAAGACCTTACCATCTTCCACTAGACATGTGTCAGTTATGTCTCCTTTTCTCATCTGAGTACAGAGGAAATAAACAAGGATAAAAAGGATTCATCTGAAGGTTTCAGCTTTTTAAATGTGAGCATTTGCTGATGTTCTCATGATCAAACAAATAATTCAGGGGGCTTTGAACTTTTTGTTTTCACTATTTTCTGACATTATATAGAGCAAACAATTAATCATATAATCAAGAAAACAATCCTCACATGAATCAATCATGAAACAAACTGTAACTTGAAGGCATAGATTCGTCTTTGAATGTTTAAAAGTGTCTAATATCAGTATTGAGCTTTAAACTGCTCTACAAAAATGATCATACAGATGCCAACAATCCCAGCATCCTAGAATTTATCTCCCAGCTTCTACTACACTCATTTTTAGGAGCTGATGTTTTTAGGAGATTAAGAGGGAATTGTGACCATTTTTAGTCTTAGAATAAATCATCTCAGGCAGATTTCAGAGTATGACACGATGCTGTTGACACACTAGAATTTCTACACAAGTATATTTCACAAACACTAACTCTGTCTTGCATATAACACAATCACGATGACAAACTCTCGCTATCTGCTAAAATCATTTAAATACTAAAAATTTGCTTCAGTTTCTCTCATTTTTCTTTTGAGTGGATGCCGTCCCCCTCGAGCAATCTCTGTGACCAAAAACCAAATAAATTCTCAAGCCTCATTAAAGGCTATGCTCCGCCTGAAATACACAGATGTGTGAAACGAAAGGACTGAGCGTCTCTCTGTTTTCTCTCTGCCTTAATGATCCTGCCAAGGATGGCCTCAGTGGAAGCGGCCCCAGCCTTGAGTTAAATACGATGAGTTAAATATGAGAAGGCAGAAGACGGCAGGAAGAGAGAGGACTCTGAGGAAGATCAGCTCTGATGTGATTTGCAGGAGGAGGTGCTCAAGCTCACAGGCAGAATAATTCATTAACACTGGCCGCACTTACACTTAAAAAAAAAAAAAACTTCATAAACAAAACCTTGCTGATGTCACTCATCAGCTGAGAGGTTTTCACGACATCTATACCTGTGAAAACTATGTACAGTTCAACCATGGCTTTGCTTCTTTTCTTTTCCACAAAGTCTAATTCAGTGGTTCCAAACCTTTAAGATCTGTGAGCCCTAAAATCTGTGCAAATACTGAAATGTAAAATAACAAGAATTCAAGGAAATAGTTCCAGTTGTAAAAACCACAAATTGTCGTTTTGTGTCAGCATAAACAAACTAAATATAATGTGTTATTCAATAAGCTTTAAAGTTGCTGGCAGGCTAATGTTTCACCAGTGTTTTCAGTCTTAATGCTAAGCTAAGCTAACCATCTCCCGCCTGTGACTTCATATAGGAGTATCGCCCAAAAGGTCAAACTATTTCTTCATTTCGGGACCTCTCAGATTTTATCTCACGACCCTCTGGTTGGGAACCACTGGACTGATTTGTGTATTAAACATTGGCATTTCTCATTAAACACTGTGTCAGGATGAACTTGAAGGGCTTCTCTGTTGGTTGACCTCAGTTGCATTTCATAGTACAACTGTTGTGATAAGGCACTGTTACTACGAGTGTCTAGGATCATCAGAAGTCAGGCCTTTTCTCACTCACACTGAGACTGAGCGTCTCCCGGATGCAAGACTAACTGTGCGTAAAGTAGTTTCATCTATTTCAGAGCGCCAAGGTCACAAAACATCCTTGATTATATAAAAATGGATGGGACAGGCGTTGGTCTGGATCAGATCACTTTAAAAATTAAAAAGATGCTTATAAGTAACAACAGTACTGAATGCAGCAATATCAGAATAAAAGGTAGAGTTTGACTTGCCTGGAAGGAGCCTGTAAGAATATCTCAGCTAAGGATTTGCATGTCCTCCCCCTGCCTGGACATCATGTGTACTCACAGACTTACAGGTGAAATGCTTTTATCCAAACAGCAAAAAAAAAAAAAAAAAAAAAGCTTGTCCAGCCTTCTCATGATTTGCATAGGGCATACACAACAAAAACTGACTGTATGTATGACATTTTATACATGTCCAGAAGTAATATTGTCTTTGCCAGACACTTGCAAGGAGTATATTTGAACTGGCATCTCACAATAAATGTCATTATGCAACTTTAAATAAAGAAAAGAAGTAGTACTGACAATCAGAGCAACCCACAGGTGAACTGTGGGGGAAGTCAAACGATTGAAGAGTGTTTTTTTTTTTCTGCTGTTTTCCCAGCAGCTTCTCCCCCTGCGTGTCTTTTCCATGCAGTGTTCAGGAGTCAAGAGGAAGCTGCTGACTTTCCATTAAATCGCTCCCCCTCCTGTAGGAGTAAGTGTCAATCAAACACCTCTGCAGCTACTGGTGAGGAGGAGGGAAGAGGAGGAGCTGCAGCAGAGACTCTGCTCTTCTTGGTTGAATGTAGGGCAGGAGTTGGAGAGTAACTGAGTCACCCACACAGTAATCAGATATTGATTATTAATGTTCCAGTTCCTGACCAGGCAGGATGCTGGGGGGGAAAGAGGGGAGTGGCTACGACTAGAGCCGCCCCCTCATACAGCTAATGGGTCTTGTCCTTGGCGATGGATGTCTCCACATCAGTCTCGGGTGAAGCCAGGGGCGGGCCCTTGGTATCAGGGGAGTGCTCCTCTTTAGGGGAGGCGGCGATGCTCGGCTTGGCCTCGTCAGGTGTGTGCTCATTGGGGATGAGTGGAGCTGTGGTTTTCTGCAGGCAGAGGACAGCATGCTGAAAAGATGCAGATACCAGTGCAGCAGAGGCTTGATACAAACAAAAACATGTAGAAAACAAGTTGTGACTAGACTGGTGACAGGCCACTGAGTCACTGCTGACATCTCAGAGATTCAAATATTACAGCTACTAATAATAATTTTGAGGAACTTGTACTTCACTTAATTATTCCCAATTTCTGTTACTTTATAGTTCTTCTCTACTACAATTTATTTGATAATGTACGTTACTTTGCAGATTAAAATTCATAATACAAAATATGATAAACAAATAAATTGATATATTATTATAGGTGAAGATAAGACCTTATTGATCCCTGTGGTGAAATTCACTGGCTACACAGCAGCAAATAAAGTGGTTAAAATTAGCCCCATCTTGACCAGCTGCAACGTTAAAGTAATGTAGACATGGACAATCTAATAACATTTTATGTCCATTTTGATGCTGAAATTATAGTAAATTTTCAATGCAGGACTTTTACTTGTAACAGTGTTTCCACTGTGGTATTTCTACTTCCTCCATCACTCATGAGAAGCTGTGATCTCTTTATTGACTCTCAGTATGACACAGAATTCATTTCAAAATTCTGCAGCTGGTTTATTAATGTTTTGGCTCCCCAGTATATCACTGAGCTGCTCACTGACTGTAGTCCAACTACAGCCCTCGGGTCATGTGGAGTCATATTTTAACTGTACTCAGAATGAGATCCAGGTCTTCAGAGGGAGCTTTTTGTTCTCTGGAACAAACTATCAAGGGACCTGCGATCAGTCACTGCCGTTTCCACATTTAATAGAAAGCTTAAAACTTTGAACTGCCATTGTGCAACCAGGTAATCTAAAATGCTTACAATTGAAATATACTAAAATACATATGATTGCTGCAGTGCCATTTTAATATCAGTATGTTTTGCTGGCAGCACCAGGGAGTGAGACTCAGTCAGGATCTTCATTGTCCAAAATGTGGAAAATGTTCTTTGGCTTCGACATATTAAATAAGGATGTTGCTCTTAATGATTCAGAATAAAACCATTTCAGTTAGTTGAACAATTATAAATAGTTACACAATACCAACCACTGAACAGAGAGAGGCACAGAGTAGCTCCGAACCCACGTGTCACAAGATGGATTATCAGTGTCACTCTGATAAGAAGAGTGTTTTCCACACCTCCTTACTTCTCTCCAACGCCCTCTGTAATTGCTCTAGACTTTATGTTAAGGTTTATGTGTGTGTGTGTGTGTGTGTGTGTGTGTGTGTTCTCACCGTGGTTTGTGGCACTGGGTTGGTGCTGGAGGAGGAAGAGGGCGCAGCAGACGCTGCAGAAACAGGCGAGTCCTCCTGCATCACTCCTCTTCTGTCCAAGACGCTGAAAACGAGACAAGGCAATCAGTCACTAACTGCATCCTGCTCGTCATTCACCAGAACGAGGCGTAGGAGAGAAAGTCTAATCTATCACAGGAACCGATACAGAACTCATTGATAACAGTAGGAAGAAAGCTAAAGACATAAAACTTCCTTTAGATAACATGACGATAAATAAAACAGAAGAAGATTCTGATTCAGAACAGGTGTTTAACACTAAATCAATTAACCAGCCCCGTGTGAGGCTCTGCAGTTTCTCTCTCTGCTATGAACAGAGCTGTTTAGGTAAAGATTTCTGACAACATTACCTCGGGTACGTCGGCCCACACAGCACCTCACAGCAGTTTTTTAAGATGTTCTTGTGGCTGTAAGGGTTCTGGACTCTGTTCTTTCCAGACCAGGATCCTTTAATCTGGGCAAAACGAAATGTGGACAACATCCATCACTGGAGCACCAAACCTTCTCAAACAGTCAGCCAGCATCCCAAACACATCCTGACTACCTTACAACCTCGCTTCGTTCTCTTTCAGAAAGATTTTCCCTGTGCTTATACCTTATTCAAAAGCATAGCTCCATTTTTAGATGTTATTCCCACAGGCTTGGCTTTGACCTACTAAAAGGATCTTGTCAGGGATTTAATGATTCCTGGTTTAATGGGAACTCTATGTGCTGACGGGTGCGTGCAATCGCAGCAACTACAAATTAAAACCACTTTAATAACTCATTGAAAAAAAAATCTTTCAAATTCATACAACAAATAAAGAGCTGTTTGTATACTCTCGGTCATATACCACATTTGGCAGCTAACAGGAAACTTGTGAGAGATTTTAACCCCTAAACATTAGGTTTTCCACACTGACTGTATCGGCATGTTTCATATTAATATGTTCATATATTCAAACCCAAGACCCCAAGACTGTGGCTGCACAATTACATCAGATGGAAATATTCTAGATGGTTTATTTAATGTTCATTTTTAACCACCAATTATTTCATCATCATTTCTTAAGTGCGTGATTGATTTCGGTGCAACTATGACTAAAAATAAGAGGTTAGGCGATGTTTCTAGTTACCATGAAAGCATGTAGAAGAAAGGAAAGTAGACTGATTGATTGATTTAAGTGCATATATAATTGATATAATGACTCATATTTATTTTCACAGCATCAGCTGGTGCGGCCTGACCCTGCCGCAAAATGTATTTATTTTTTATTTTAGGTGCTGTAGATGTAGGTCAGTGCTGCATGCCTACGTGTGTGTGTATGTGTGTGTGTGTGTGTGTGTGTGTGTGTGTGTGTGTGTGTGTGTGTGGGGCGGAGACACAGCTGACAGACCATGTGTCATCCTATGGGAGACCAGAGCAGCTACAACACTCAAGGTGCCTTCTCTTGTTCGACCTTATTCCACCATTTCTCTCCTCCTCTTTTCTCCCTCTTCCTCTCCCTCTCCCTCTCTCTCCCTCTCTCTCCCTCTCTCAGCAGTATTTCTGGCTGCGTGCCCAGCCCCTGCAGGTATCGATGCATCTATTATTAGGCCAATCACAGATATTGAAATGACCGGGCTGACAGCCATTGTTTCAACTCCTGGAGCAACATTACACTGTAGGTGCACATTGCAGAGCTTCATTACTGATTGCATGTAAAAGAAAAAAAAAAAAATGAGGCCAGCCATCCCACAGGAAAGAAGAAGCAGAATTATAAATAAATCATTACAACAAAGTATGAGTGCACTCTTGCTTTCAGCCATCTAGAATCTCCCACCATCTTCAACACTGCTGCTGCTGCACTCTGCTTCTCGTCACAGCCTCTGCAGTCAGATCTGGGCTAACAAAGCCTGCAATAAAGTATATACACTGAAAATGCTAGTATACACAACAGAAATGGTTCCCCTCTGTGGATTCATCCACCTGCATCACCGCCACTCATCGTCTGCTTTACATCAGCCTGATGCGTGTGTCCGTGTATGGTGACTAAATAATGACTCAACGGTTATGCGCTTAAGCAATCAATACTTTTTTTTCCCCCTCATTTAGCATCAGAAGCTTCTTGTAAATGTGGCCGACAAGTGCTTCACAAACCAGCTGGTCTGTTTTGTTCTTATTTCAGCTCAATTCTATCATTGGTTTTATTAAGAATAGCAGCTATTGGTGCATATTTTTAGATGAGTGGACTGTGTTGGCCAGCTGGTATCAGAGAGGAGTCCAACTGCTGCTTTTAGCATTCAAAGCATTTACCAGCCAATTTGTCATATGGCTCTGCTCTGTGTGTAATTGGCCACATTTCCCTTGCAAAGAAATTTTTTTTAGCTGAACTGGATAAAAATAGGGTGAATTTATTTTTCAAATACAGGTGGAAATATTATGGTTCATTCTGCTTCATGTGATTTAAAAGAGAAGTGTAAACAAATGTGACATGCTGCATGTCTTTGTTTTAGCTGTTATAAATAGACTTTCAAACTTTCACAGACTCCATTTCCATCAATTTGAGTTTACAACACTTCCTGTATTTGCCTTTCTTTAGTTACAATATAATAGCCTTGTTTAACAAGCTACAGTTTACCAACCCTCTGTCCTTCAGTGCTGAACGAGGTGGTTCTGTTGTCAAGGAAACAGCTCTGTGGCCTTAGAAATTGTAGTGTTTACACCACAGCGATGTATGTTTATCTTTCCAGCCTCATGAACCCCGGCTGCCTGAAGATTATAGACACATTCTTAAAACTATACCTTCTCCTCGTTATGTGCTGAACTCTTAAAATTGGATTTAGATCAATGTAATTATGTAATGCAACTTCCAAGCCTTTACCTGAAATCTTCAATATGTAAAGACTAGAAAAATATCTGCACTTAAGAGGATTTCCTTCATTTTTATATCTCTGTGAATGATCGCTGGGCTCGAAGTATATCTGTTTTGTTTTTTTTTAAGTGCAATTAAGACTGAAACATTTCCCTCTTGAGTTCAGATTGATTGGGTAGATAAAAGTTATGCTGAAAACCCTAGTATTACCAAAAGTGGCTGAATATTGGGGTCTGAGTTCTCCCTTATTTACACTCTGCACTGCGTGTGTGCAAATAGCAGAGCTATCAGATATCAAAAAAGCTAAGTCCAAATGCAACCAAGAAGTGTTTCAGTGCTTCTAATCAGATGAATGTGTGTCTCTTTATAAACAGCTGTTAGCTACCTAGCAACACTATTAGTGCCCTAAATAAACTGATGAAGTGCAGAAGTCATTCTTTCTCTTACTAGCACCCACTCTTTTCATCTCAAAATTAGATAAAAACGTAGGTTATATCTCATCTGGATTTTATCCAGAAATGAGACACTTAAAATGAGAAGTGTAAATATGGCTGAGGTGCACTTCACTTTTGGTGAGAACTCAACATAGACCAAGCTCAACATACAGTTTAAAGTCCACTTGTAGTTTTCTTAACTAAGACTCCTCCCTAACCCAAACCAAGACAAATGCATAAGTGCAGTTTAACAGAGCATCATTTTTGAAATTTCCACCACGGGAATAAAGTGTCACAGAAAACTCAACAAAGAGTGAGTTAAACCTGTTCACAAGTCATGATTCACTTGCATTAAGACAGTGTGAAACCTAAACAAACTAGCTGTCAAGTGCAGCACTGTGCCTCACAGGATGATTCAGACCCAGGACAGCAACCTGCAGATGAGACAGCTCCATTAATCTGTAGTTATGTTTAAATGAACATGCAGGAAGATGCACTTACATCCTCGTTGGTGGTCTGGTTGAGAGAGATCAGGTAGGTGTGGAAGCCGGTCAGTCCCACCACTGACCACAGGGTGAAGAAACACACCAACACCTCCAGCACAGTGAACTCAAGTTAAGAGAACAACAACAGATGTTTTCTGCCTGACACATGGTCACTGATTAAACAGCGGACAGCAGGTGATGGCAAAAGGGAAGACAGTTATGCAACATGATTAAGGCCAGTGACGGTCAGTGCAACAACCATAGCCTATAATGAAGAGTACAGGGTCAAACGCAGTGTGTGTCAATCCTTTGAACTGTGGTACAAAGAAAAGATGAGCTGGAATTTACTTAAACACATTTATTTAATCTATAAATACTTTAAATTGTTTGATAAACAGTTGGTCAGTTCCTGCTACTACATCTGTCGTACTTTCTGTTTTTGCTATTTAAGCTAACATTCGCTTCGTAAGTCAATTAATAATGGAGCCTCCAGCTTTTTAATGTTTCAAGTTGATTTTTCTAAAAATCAAATATCTTGTAAAACAACTGTTTTCAAACAGTGTGTTTATAACTTCCAGTGTTACAAGAAATAAAGGTTTTAGGATGAAGACTAACCAATGTTTAAGGCATATGAAATGCTATCTTGAGAACCATTAGTTGGGGGTAACTGAACCTCCCCAAATTCAATAAATGCATGTTAGCATAAACTCTAAAAGCATTCAGGACCGGCTTCCACACAGAGGTAAAATACTGAAAAAAAAACAAAAAAAAAACTTCATCATGTTAAAATCCAAGCTCAGTGCTATAATTGGATGTCAGTGTTCAGGTAGGGGTTTAGTAAGAGATCAGTTGGTTTAGAAACATTAATGTTTTTAACTTTCTATTCTAGGAAATCTGGCAGATGAAGCACACACAGCACCTGGTTTTGCGGTCAGAGTTTGAAAGGATATGTTCCAGGTGTTTCTTTCAAAGTGCTCAAAAAGCCATTATCCACTGAACCTGTGAACAGAAAGACAGAAGTTAGAAAGAAAAATATAGATATACAGCTTCCTTCTTCACTTTATTCTTCCACAAAGGAACAGTTCTTACACATTTACACAGTGTTGAGATAACAAGCCCAGAGTTAATCATCCTGACTAGAAAAACTCCTGTTTCCACATGTCTCTGTCTTGTTGCCGTCTGCGTTTGGTAGAACAAGGAAACAGGAGGACGAGAATGAAACAGGAATCATGTCAAGCTGTCAGTTGCTGTTGCGTGTCACGTCACGCTTCAGGAAAAGCCTGAACTAGGTCATAGTTTCAGAGCATGTGCATGCATTTACATAAACACTGGAAGCTGCTGGTGAGCTTGTGTCACAGGTCATTCTTCCTGTTTCTCCACATTTTTTGCAGCATGAACCATTCTCCTACTGTTCCCTCTGATTGGATAACTGATACTTACGCATGACCACATGGACGATGTCAAAGGTGAAGATATAAATGGTGAGCAGGGAGAGGGACAGGGTGAACAGGTAGAAGTATCTGTAGTTCCTCTTGCCCACACAGTTTCCCACCCATGGACAGTGGTGATCAAAACGGTCTGTGGGAAGAAAGAAAAAAAAAAAAAAAGTCTCTGTATAAACATGTGAAATGTTCCTGCAACTTTATTAGAACACAGACACTTCTGAAAATCAAACGAGAGTTAAAAATACACCGATATCAGCTGCAGTCAAAAACAGCTTTGTGCATCACCTGCAGTCTAAATATAATGATCACTTCCTCTTAGCCTCTCTTCTTCTATCATTTGGAGAAGAGCCACGTGACAGCGGGGCAGGGTCAAAGGAACGACAGAGGTAAACATCTTGCTTTACACTTTTCTCTGCAGCAGAGACACAGCTGCACGTCCTGGATGGAGTTTCACAACAATATACAGTAAATAGAGGCACAAACGTAGGACGAGGAGCGGCTTGTAGATATAAGGTCAAATGAAAAGGAATGAAACAACAACCAAGGTTTCAGCTGTAAATATGTTTGAAGGTGTTTGAATCCATTTTGAGTTAACTGTATGGTAATTATAGCCTTTTCGTAACCATGTTAGCGGCACGGCTCAGCTAAGGATGGCACTTCTGGTCCACCACTTTGGTTCTATTGGATAGATTGCCATAAAATCTGGTACAGACATTCATGGTCCCCAGAGGATAAAGTCTATATGACTGGTGAGCCCCTGATTTTTCCTATATTTGATGGATGGCTATGAGATTTGATAGACACCTTCATGCTGCCCTCAGGATGAATTGTAATAACTTTGGTGATGCTTTAACAAATAGGAAATAGTCCTGTACACTGTTGCAACACTGTTCGCTTAACGGTGATGTCAACAAATTCAAATTACAGCTGAAAGTCAGCACTTTACTTGCCTGATATTTCATGGGTATTTGCCATTTTCTCTATTTCAATCCCTGAAGAAAAATCTGAGATGTGTGCAGTGATTCAAAGGCCTGGAACTTGAATTACCTGAATACTTTTTTGTTTATTTCAGTAACGCCCATAATTACTGTTGGACTATCATTATTCACTGCAATAAACAATGTAAAGTTGAGAAGGAAAAGATATGACTGCAGTAAACGTGGGACTGAAGCATGCTGCTTGGACTGTGTGTGTGTGTGTGTGTGTGTGTGTGTGTGTGTGTGTGTGTGTGTGTGGGTGTTCCTACAGCAGGTGGACACAGATGAACTAGTGTTCACAATGACTGAGCACTTATTCCCTCTCTTAGCCTCCACTGTCTCTCATATCACATATGAGTCTACGTGTCTTTCAAATGCATTTCCTCAATCATCAGCAGGCAAATGACTTGTTATTCTGCAGGGCTGAGAGATAAAACAGCTACACACGCACACATCACATCACAGCAACACACTCAGTTCAAACCGCCTTCAAAATTCAAAGCGCTTAAAATATTCCCTGGGAAGTTTTTGGTCCATTTGTTTCGGTTCTTTAAAACTTTTGCAGCCTGTCTGCTTAGTCCAACAGTTATTTATAAAGCTTTGATTTTTTAATAATAATTTCATCACTGTGACAAATGAATGCAAGAAGAAAATTAAGGTCAAGGCTTCAGTAATAGTCATCACATCTGCATGCTATTTTTCTCACACACAAAAACATAAGTCACCTTTCTATTTCTGAGAAACCAGTTTCAATGAAAAAAGCCTTTGCATCACCGATATAGAACTGACGGCAGATTAGAAGAGATTTCTCACCGACACAGTTGTCACAGATGCTGCAGTGAGATGCTCGAGGTGGTCGGAAGATCTTGCATGTGTAACAGTACTTGAGTTTGACGATCTGGTTATTGATCTGAACGTTGCGGATTCGAGGTGGCGGCCGCTGCCCTGCTGGGACGTTGCCATTTGCAGCCTCTGTGGAAACAAAAAGCACAACATTCGTAAGCAGGTGTCGGCTTGGTCAAATAATTCTAAATATATGTTATCAAATCACAATCTAATACAACAACACCACAAGCTACGTCCTCGGAAAACACAGTTCAACAAACCTCTAACACTGTCAAAAAATACGCATAATAAGCTTCACAAAAGCTTCAGTTTCTTGCAGCGCCATTACACTGGATTGTATTAGACTGCACAGCAGCTCACAGTATTATGTTCACCTGCTGTATATCTCCTAAACAGGCAGTGAGGAATGTGAGATTCAGTTGCAAGGAGAAGAAAAAAAATGAGACATAAATCTTGACAGCTAAACCTTGAGAACGTCAGCGGATGACAACACTGGCTCGATACAGTATTGATGGATGGTGGATTTATGTGTAATCACTGCTGAGCTGTTAATATTATATATCAGCAGGACTATAGTGCTCTGTGTCCTGCTCTATTTGTGCATCAGCTAACCTTGCAACCACTGGAATGACTGTATGTCACAGTCATATCTTTTCTGTGAGACAGTCTTACTCCTGCACAGCAGTCACCAGCCAAAGGAGATTCTCACACATTCTCTGCTCTTGGCAATTCAGATTTTTCTGATTATGTTGCACTGCAGGAGCTGAGAAGTTAGTGAGGCTGGCTAATGGCCAGAGGGGTGCTGGCTGGAATCTGTCAGGAGAATAACTGTTGGGGAGAAATCTACCATTAACATGCTGCACTGTGCAGATGTGAATGTGGAGTCAAGGGAAAGGAGCGAGCATGCTCATTTCACTTTCTGAGGATACGTTCTGATTAAAAAAGAAAGAAAATGGTGCTTGTGGAAATTAAGCTCAATGTTTAGAGATGAGTAAAGGAAAAATTTAGCATTAACTAAATTGCATACTTATCGTTTGTATCGAGCTCTAAATGGCCATTCTTTGTAATGTAAAACTCAACGTAAATAAATTAATGAAACGAGAAGAACACAAGCTTCCAAAAATAATCTAAAATACATCTACAGACATAAAGATTGTGACATTTATTTAATCCGACAGCACAAAACACTCTGCATTATGAATCTAAAGAACGTAGGATTAGCGGCTTTCAGGATAAACCAGTGGAAAATAAATTAATGAGTCATCACTCACAGGGAATGATGCCACTCCCTCAGGTAGCAGAGCTCGGTCTGCCAGTGGCATTACATATTCCAAGAGGATGCTTCTCCGTGTATTTGCATTCCCCCTCGGGGCTAGTCACTAACAGGCTGAGGGACAGAGCACCGAGGCCGCAGTGGCTTCATCAACATATCTGCCTCAGCTTCAGAATGAGATCAAACACCCGTACCTGCTTCTTCTGTCTAGTACCCCCATGCTCATGACAGGAAACAGCATTAAACCACACACACATTAAAAAATACACTGTATAACAGCAATAAATGTGGGATGGAAGTTGTTAAACTAAGTGCTTCATTCAATTTGCTGCAGTGCATATTCCTCATATTTCACATGACACGATTTAGCATTTAAATGATGGATATGTTGCTATTTTGGGAGATGTGTTAGGTAGAATGTAAAAAATAAAACCGAAAACTGAAGGTATGAGACTGAAAACAGGTCAGTGAAGGGTTTTGGGAAGCTACATGCCGAACAAGGTGAAGGCAAACATAGAACCAATGTAAATACCTGATGTTGTTTTGTGTTTGCATGTGTAAACAGGACCTAAAAACTCCTGCGGTGAAGAGTGAGGTGATTTAAAGGAATAGCTCAACATTTTCTAAAATATGCTTATTTTCTTTTTTACTGAGAAATAGACAAGATCACTGATACCACTCTCACATCTGTCTGTCTCTAGAGCTCATTAGCTAACAGGTATTCAAAAACATGGATACATTAGTTTTACTAGTTGTTTAGTGTTAAACTGTGTAAGAGCAAGTCAAAATCCTGCATTTTGAATTTTGTTGGAGAGGGTTAAATTGCTTTATCAAATAAAAATGACGAAACAGTTTATCGATTAATTGATCAACAAGCAAGTGAGTACTTGTTCGGGTAATTTATCAAGGAAACACTCCTCTTCTTCTCTGCTGCTTCTCAAATGTTTGATTTCACTACTTTTTATTTAGGAAAACAGTAGAAAAAGACCCTGGAAACAGATGAGTCATGATACGATGCAAAAAGAACCAGAGAGGTCAAATAAAATGGGCAACATTTAACGTGCTACATTTTTTTTTGCATCATGTGATTTTATGCATCCTGAGGACTGCCAAGCTTGAGACGCATTGCAATCCAGAATACCTGCCAATACAATGTTGTGTTCTTCATGCCATCAAATGCCTGTATTTGCCCACACATTCAGCATATTAAATTCCCTCACTCTTCTGCTTTGATGCCCCACAACCAGCTTTCTTCTCTGTACTTTCTGTAATTGTAAATCAAACATCTCTGGGTTTTTACCTGGGAACGTTTAATTGTCAGAAAATTCTGAATCACGCCCATCAAAAGACTGAACATTCAGCGGCAAAACACTTATCGATAACAAAAAAAAATGATTCAATCAATCAATTTTCAAAGAGATTTCCTCATTTAAACTACAGCACAGGGCCGTAACAGCCACAGCTACAGCTAGTTCTACCATCCAGCTGTTGTCATCCAGCGAGCGGCAACCAATGAGTCGCAGTCATGATGAGAGAAGAGCTAGCTGCCAGCTGACCCATTCTCAGACCAGAGGCATGGTCTCCACCCATGCCTCTTGTGTGGGGTGGGAGAGCGCGAGTGATGGGCTGAAGGACACCATGAATCTTTAACAGAAACAAAGAGTGAACAGTGAGCAGCCTCACAGGCAGACAGACAGACAGACAGAAAGGCAGGGGAGGCCGAGGACGCAGGGTGGGCTGGTGCAGAAATATCACAGAATGACTTATCATCCACACATGAAGAGAAAGCCCGGGGAGGGGACATGAAAAATACAAGAATGCACTGCTGATGAGGACGACAACACTCTTATTTCTGTTTGCAGAGGCTGTCCTGTCATCAGTATACAGCGTACGGTTTGTTTTGTATAACGAGACACACAGAGCCCATGTAATGAATGTGTGTTACATTGAGCTCTACACCCCCACGAGCACACCCAACATAAAGCTAACGAACATGAATAAACCAACAGGACTGAGGCTGTCTGCTCACTGTTTAACCACTGAAGTATTAATGCTTCCAAAATACTTTCACTTCAGCTATTTCCACCTCATCTACTGTACACATGTGTGGATGTCATTTCATACAGACAAAGAAACGTATACAGCAACCCACTTGGTGATGTAACCACAAATGAGCTGTAATAACCATTTGTTCTGTTATTGACTTAACATTTGAATGGATGCAGATAAGGGATTTGTGTCTGGGCTGGTGGCATTATCAGCTCTGACTGTGAATAGTGGATATACACACTTCAAGGACTGGTGCGAGGCTGTCACACTAGACCACACGCTACTTCAAACCTGCATAAATCTGCACTGGATCTGAGCATTATCACTGAGAGGTGCCTGGAGCGGCTTTACTCTTTTCAACTATTATCAGCAATAAATTGACTTGTGGGCAGAGTCGTCTATACAAACCTTTTACAAATGTTGCTAACAAGCATTCTTCAGATGCACACAACCATTGTATATTTCAAATTCCAGTCAAAGTCCCAGGGTTTTGTCAAGATACAAAATATTTCATGCAAAAACAGGTGGATCTGTTTATACATTTTCATCATTTTATAAGATATTCTATCTAATGTAATGGTGTAGCATAAATGATGTCATTGTGGATTTGAACTTTTCCCTAAATTTACTTAAACCTGCAAAAACAGATTTTTATTTCCAGAAGTTACGGAGCAACATTTCAGTTTATTGTGTTTCAGACCACCTGACAAATATAAGTCCAATATTCACTCAGCTCTGTTTTTGGTCTCCACATGTTTACCAGTTAGTTGCTGACTATGAACCAAAGCAGTAAAGTTTCGGTCTGGGCAGGGGAACAATGAGATGAAACTCACTAAAGCTTTGTAAAGACGAGGGGAGCTACTATGAAACTGTCAATGTTTTAACATTGTCATTTGACACAGTGTAATTATTAAAATACTGCTTATAGCAGCTTTAAGATGTGGCGTCACTAAAGGACTTAAACTATCACAAAACTGATTACTGTATGCGACCTTGTTAAACAGTGTGAAAAAATGAATGGAAAACTAGTTATGGGGATATTTAAAGGCCGTGAGAACCCATTTTATTAATTTACTTCTCACTTTGAGTAATAACCTTCTTAATCTTACATTCGTGCAATTTTGGTTATTTCACATGAGAGATTTCTGTATTTGAGATTGTCTCTGTGCTTAGGGGAAGACTGTGGAGACGAGTTTAAAAGTCCACTGGAAATAAAGATAAATCAATTCAAATAAAGAAGTTTCTGTGAACCATTCCTGTAACTCACCGATTTCCATCTCGATGAATGTGGCTTCCTCTGGGAGGGCCCGTGGCAGCACCCCAGGGTCACTGAAGCTGGTCCTCAGCAACATGGCCATGACGAAGAGGAAGAGCAGGGCAGCGAAAACTGGGATGGTCGGAGACAGATGCACAGCCAGGTATGGACATCTGCAGAAGAAAAAAGGATTTTGTAAAGCATGTAATGTAAAAGTAAGTTTGAAAAGTGGAAAGTCCAGTCGGTCAGTGGTTTAGGTTTATCTCAGGACAGTGAAGAAGGAACCCGGGTTTTCTTCATTCAGGGATAAGATGTGGAGCCACAGTTTTGACTGCAGTAACTCTGTCTGGTTTTATCAGTGTACAACAGAACTACAAATTAATATCATTTCATTGTATATTTCTTTGTGATTTCATTGGAGCTGCAACGGCCAATGAATCAATTTAGACAAAAAAAAGAAAATCAAGCAATTACTTTAAAAACTTTAATAATGTTAATAATGTTTTCAGTTGATTTCTAAGAAAAAATGACTCCAACAGTCTCTGGTTCCACCTTCTCCCATGTCGTCTGTTTTATATCACTGTAAGCTGAATATGTTTGGACTTTGGACTGTTGGTTGATGTCCTCTTGAATCTGGGGGCAACGTGTCAAAGTTTTCTGACATTTTATAGACAAAACGATTAATAATTGGCAGACCAATTGATACAAAAAAAATAATCGTTGATTTGAAATATTGTATATTTTTGCATCGCAACAACATGTGACAGCTGTAACAGAAATGGGAGAGCCCTCTCCAAAAGAGCAGTGAGGACATGACACGACAACACTATACATATTCTGAGCTGGTGTCGTGAGTAGAAGGTCATGAACTGCGAGAGCCGCCCTTTCTCTGGACCACGCAGAAGTCATGGCCATGAATAAACAACACCATGCCACACTCCCCTCACCTTCTGGAAGAGTGGAGAAACATTAGCATAACTCCGTTTGCCAGGCCATTGAGATTAGAGCCAGCAGGGCTCCTCCAAAAAGGCCTGCTGCTCAATGCGATAACAGATGTGAGCTGCAGAGCAAAGTGCTGCGACAGAACAGAGCACAGCAGCAGAAGAGGCTTCGGCGTGCAGTTATTAATAGTTAAACTGCGTCTCCCATCTCTTTCCCATGTGGCCAGGATCGTATATTCATAATGCAACACTAATGTTGCGCTACAGGATAGCAAGGTATTGTGCCATATCCTGTACAAGACTAAGTTTTGTACTGCATGTCATGCATAAAGCCGCCCACACAGGCGACACACACTCTGCTTCATTATGAAGAAGATGGACATTTGGGCCATTGATACTCTATAGACATACATCAGTTATTAAAAGGCAAAATTATCAGGCTCGATCACATTTACACATTATTCTCTTTTTGCCAAAGTGAATTACAGTATAAACACAACTGAAATGATTCAAAGATTTATCAACTTGTGGATCAACAAAAAATAAATCTGAAACTATTTTAATAATTGTTTAACTGCTAACTGTTTAACATGATTTCACATTGAGCGTCTTTAGCACAAAAACAAGTGATCTGAAAGTCATCTAGTAGATGTATTTGGCCTCGTCGTTTGGATGGCATTTCCTCCATTCTCACCACACACACAGCTGAAAGGAAGTTTAAAAATAAGGGGATGTAGCTGAGTAAACAATTACCAGTCAGCAAAATATGTCATAGAACAAAGTCCACCTGTTATCTCGCACTACAATATGCAGATGAATCAAGTACGTCAGCATACCTGTGCACTGACACCCACCCTCCCACCCACACAACACCTGCTGGACTGGTCTGAGCAGTTTCCCTGCAGTGCCTTTCTTCACACTAATGGAAACAAGGAGCAGAGATCAAATCAATAGAAACTTCCACTGGAGCAGGCCTGTGAAGTATGTTTGTCCCATTCGTTAGTGCAGAGACAGCAGAGGGCAGCCAGTGGATTCAGACTGAGGAAAGGCAGTTTGTCGATGAGGTGTAATTCCCGTAATGATGACTAGTAGGTATTCGAGGCACACTCTATCATCACTTCCCATCAAGCCCACACGTCCTTCCTGGATGTGACCATTTCCTGTGCTGTTGAGGAGCAGGGTGGTGCTGGCACAGTGACGCCGTGTGTTCATCAGTCACCACAGAGGCAGCAGAAAAACGGGACTTAATCTGGCCCTGTGTCCATGAGGGGGAAATGTTTTCATCAGCAAGGCGATCAATCAGACCGCCAAACGACACTCACACGCCTCTAACACACTCCTTGTCTTCCCTCCTCAACTTTCTGCCTCTCTGTTTGTGCCTCATAACAAACTAGTTCCAGTGGTGGAAATTAACAAGTGCATTTACTCAATTAGTGAGATTCATGTGCTTTACTTGTGTTTTAACTTCGTACTACATCATACTTCTACTCCACAACATTTCAGTCTATTCGTCCCATTTGACGGTTAAACTGTTTTTTATTTTACTTTTATTTTGAAGATCAAGATTTTAAAACCCATCATAAAATCTGGATCACTGTTTAATAAAACTGCCAAATAATCTGTTAAATGGGGAGAAACAGCTCCACCCTGGCCAGTTACAACATTAACATACTGCTTGAGTATTAAAGGAATAGTTCAACATGTTGGAAAATATGCTCATATGCAAGTATGTTTGACATTATAGTAAAGTATTGCTACTTTTACTTAAACACAGGATGTTAAAACTTCTTCCATCATGACGAGTTGGACCTGGATTAACACACATACTGTGTACTCAAGAATTTTGCTAATTGAAATATCTCACATGAGCCTTTCAGCATTTTAAAAAATCATTGAGTGGCTCTATTGCACATCTGAGGGATCGAATGTTTGCTGTAACCTTGTGTAGACCGTGAATTCAAAAGCTCACCACAAAAATATATTTTTATTATAATTCACCTCTGACTAAGTATGCAAATTGTTTCTGCCATATGCTACACTTGTTTACTTAATGTGCCCTTACGCAACTGTCATAAAATCATTAAAGAGTGGACGTTAGGCCCCGAGTTCCTGGAATACAGAAAGGAGATCGTGTATTGTTTCATAGATGGCCTCTGTTAGCTTAAAAAACCTGCAATCAGCTGTTGATAAAGGTCAACAATCACTATAAACATATGAGATACAGTAGAGATAATCTACTGACTGCTTACTCTACATTTAAAGTGTGACGTTCACTTTGCTGTGTGTGTGTGTGTGTGTGTGTGTGTGTGTGTGTGTGTGTGTGTGTGTGTGTGTGTGTGTGTGTGTGGTGTGGGGTGGGGTGGGGTGGACATTAGATGCATTAGGGTGTGTCCACAGACTCAGATCCAGAGGATCTCCCCTATTAACTCAGGACAACACAAGCTCAAAGATGAGAAGCCTCTAAAGTCGGGACATAGCCGAGTTAAAACCACTTCAAGTTCTCAGTAATAAAACCACTAAACCCAGGATTAATACGTCACCATGCCATTCTTTAGTGACTCATGACATTTTACCTTTGTTTAGTATTTCAAGCCCTTCCTTTATTAATACTTAACACTTGTAAGCTGTTGCAGACCTGCATGAATCATACTGAAAATGAATTATGTACTGGCTGTGCAGGCAGATCCACAGTGGGCCTCAGTAACAGCCGCCTGTCATACAAACATCTGTAGACTCTGACTCTGCCTGTTTCTAGGGCACAGCTGAAAAAAAAACAGAAGCTGACAAAGTGTGCTTGCCCTCTCTGCTTTTCCACATACAAACAGAAAGTCACTCCATTACTGAACTTGGTAAATATTCAGATTAGAGGGGGATTTCACTTTTGCCCCTTTTCATAGATGAGATCATTCTTCTTCAGTTTGTGCCTCTTATGTATCATAATACAGTCAAGTCATAGAGCCAAGTTCCCTTTTTTTTGTAGAAAAATAAAAACCTGGCAAACGTTGAAAAATCCAGACAACATTCACTGCTTATATGGAGGCAATGAAAAAGATTTTTTAACTTGTTTCTTTAGCTGTGATTGAATTTCTTCATCCAGACAGCCTGAACTGACAAATGTTGTTGCTCTATTTATAAAATACAAACAAAATAGAGTCTTTGAGGAATCTGGAAAAACCTTCACAACAGCAGTACATTCTGTTAAATGACCTAAGATCAGCAGGCATTTTTCCTTTTCTAAAAATCAAATGCTTAGCTCTATGACTTGAATGTAATGGTGATACATGAGGGACATGAGGCAGGGCTATCTTAGACCTCTCGTTGGACTACAGATATCATGTCCTTCAAACCTCTGTGAAATGTGAGACTGAGTTTAAAAGAGGTTACACTAAAGCTTCAGTGAGCACAATCTGTTGTCCAGTTTAAATCAGTCTTCCTCGTTATGCAACATTTAAATACCACATGAGAGAGATGAAACATTAAAGCCGGGGTCATGGAGATTTTCCTAGAATTAAAGTTGGGATTACAGATGTTGCATCATAGAATATTCACTAAGTGATATAAGGACTAATGGTAAACCGTATGATTTAATTTCACCAACATAAAAAACAATACTGGTGATTCAACAGCATGACTGAAGAGGCGTCTATCTCTATACATTTCTTCTGGGAGAGCATCAATGTCAAACCAAACAGAAAATGACAAAGTGAGGAAACGAAACAAATAAAATTTCCCTCCCTGTGTGGCTCAGGATGTGGGCAAAAAAGAAAAGAAAAAAAAACATCCTCCATCCTCCAAAGAAAAGCAGCACTGTGGACCTGGCAGGGAAGCTTCCAGACAACAAAGCCTGTAGATCACTGTTACTGTAAATGGAGCATGTACTCTGAATAGGGCATAAATCATGTTATTGCTCATTTAGCCTGGGCCGGGTGCCGCTTTCTGATTGGCTCGCAGGGAGACAGGGTGGGGTTAGAGATGCTGAGGGAGGCTCAGGGGTCGGTTACAAGATCTCCTCTGACTGCAGCTGGTCTGCAGGCTCAGCCCTGTATTTCTACCGTTCCAGACCAACTGAAGGCCACCGTCGTATGTACGGAGACAGCACAGGAACACAGACAGAGAGGATCAGTCTGATTACATGCACATATGCCTCTACAGCCTCGTAGCTCAGCGTCCTGGGTGGACAGACAGATGACACACTGTCCTTGTGTTCCAGTTTCTTGTTCCTTCATCCAAGCTCTATAGGTGGCTATCCACACGCACGTATGCATGCATGTACACACACACACTGACATAAATGTACAAATGGGAACCAAACCACTGAATATTCAACTGTGAAGAAGCCTCTCGTGGATATATACATGTCAGGCAATTGACTACTAAAACCTTTGATACATCACCTATACATCAGCAAATAATATCCAGTGTAATATGAGTGTAAAATCACATTTAGAAACAGGGCAAGGACATACAGTCTTAACACTCATTCCTCCTGTGAAGGAAAAAACAGGCTGGGCCTACCGCTTCAGTGACTAATTTGTTTAGTTTTTCCTAATGAGTCTTTCCATTTGTGTATTTGGTCGCTCGTTTCCGCAATTTAGCACAAATTAAAGAGAGGTTTCCCTGCACAGGGAGCCGAAGGCTGGTGATAAAAGTGAGATGTCTGCTCGGCTGGTGTTGGATATGAGCCAGCCCACGCCAGGACACAGCCCTCTCTGTTCTCTGATCTACGCCACAGTGCAGCTCATAGCACAACCTCGAGCCCACATGTGAGGAATGAATCCTCCATAAAACAAGGAAACTAAACAATACAAACAAAATGTCTGTGATAACAGAATTATGAACAACAGCTTAATGCACAAGAACTAGCCTACGCTTAAAATTAGATTATACTGATGCAGTGTCATGCATCTTTTGTGAGTGCAGTAGATTGTGGTATTGTTTTTATCAATATCAATATTATATATATATATATATATATATAAAATATAAATCATATTAACTATAGCTGCAACAGTTAGTTGATTTATTGATTAGCTGATTGACACATTATTAATCTGCTACTATTTTGATGACTGATTATTTCACTTATCTTTAGTACAAGATGACAGGAACAATGTTCAACATCTTAGCTAAGTGCTAAAATTTGCCAATTAGCATACAAAGTACAACTGAGGCTGAATGTGACTAGTTTAAAGGTGGTAAAAACCAAAGTATTGGACAGTTATAATTGTGACCTGATGATGAAAAGTCAAGTCAAAGTGACTTCTATTAATCCTGACTGGGGCATGAATGTGTAAACCAAATTTCATAGCAATCCATCCACCAACAGTTGTGGAGACATTTAACTAAAAAGCCAACCTCCTGGTGGCACCAGAGAAAAGTCAGGGGATCACCAAAGTCAGTAGGTACAATATCTGTATTACATTTCATAGCAAGCCATCAAATACTTGTTAGGATCTTTATTTCTGGATCTAAATGGTGGAGTGATCGACCCTGCCGCCCAAAGAGCCACATTCCCTGTTTCTACTTCTCAAATGTGAGGATCTGCAGAAGGTCTTTGTCAAACGTGGTAAACTGAATATCTTTGGGTTTAATGACTGTTTCTCAGACAAAACAAGCTATTCAAATAGATCACCTTAGGATTTTGGAAATTAAAATGGGATTTCTTTTTTACCATTTTCTGACATTTTATACTCCATACTAAAAAAAAAAAGAATGAATCAAATACGAAAATAATTGTGAGTTGCAGCCTTGACGCTGGCTGCGGATATTGTCATACCAAGAAAGACTGGACTTATTTCTCTAATGCTTCTCATATAGTTGCAAATGGGCAATTTGTGAATGTATTAAACCTCTGAGCCGGTTTTCAGAAGTGCTATTACTCCATCAGAGGTTTAAATCAGATATGTATCAACATGCTGTGTAATGGCGAGTTTGAAAATCACCCCCGTGTTGTCTGAGCCCAATCTCCACGTTAATATCCATCACCCCATGAGAGATAATTATGTTGCGCTGTAATATGAACATGGCATGCTAACAACCCTCCAGCCATTAGTCACCGCAATGCCTCCTCTGGGCTCTGGATGTTCAGTGTGAGCAGTATCGTCTGAGCTCTCAGCCGGACAACAGCTCCTTCTGTCCGGGCTCAAAGAAAAGCAGGAGGCCATTAAAGTGCAGAGCAGATAGAGATGGGAAGGGCCTGGCACCAGTGAAAGCAGCTACTTCTCCTCTCTGCTATGCTCCAAATCCATTTGGCCTGATAGCTGCATACACGCCCACAGTCAAGAGAGGTTACTGTGTTACAGTGCAAGATTTGTGCTAAATCATCGTGCCTGATTTGTCAGTTACAACTGGCATGAAAGGAGAAAAGAGGAGACAAACAGGACATAGACAGACGGTGGGCGCAATCTGAAAAGGCGCTGCTTTATGATGATTATTCACAGCCATGTTCTTCATTTTAAAAACAATCCTCTATACAGCCGTCACTGACAGGATTTGGGTTCACATGCTGCATCCGAGCCAGCCGGCAGTGTTTGCAGGGCTAATGAGTCCACTGGGTTGTGTGAGTAGTGGACTGAGACAGAACTGCTGAGACGACAGAAATGGCAGCTTTCCTTTCTTAAACCAGAAACAAAGCTGGACAGCTAGGGTGATTAAATATTAAACGTCTCTGTACGTGGTCAATCTGGATTTTGAGCAACAAAACATGGAACCACAGTGTGTTTGTGAAATGATCACAACAGAAATTCTTGGCTGTTACAAATGAAGGCCATACAGGAGATGGGAGGTATAGATGAGAAGAAGAAAACACTCATCGAAAAAATTATATGACCCTTAATTAGGTTTTAGAAGCTTACAAACACCCAATACTCCTTTAACATTATTGTATACATATTAGGAATATAATAGGTCAAATATAACACAACAGAAATGGGTGAGATATAAAAAATAAATGATGGATTGACAGAAAATTACTCAGCATTTATTTTGATGATTGATTAAACATTTCAGACATTTTTCGTACAGAAATAACAAATATTCTCTGGTTCAAGCTTCTCAAATGTGAGGATTTTACAAATTTATATCATATAATAGTAACGTGAATATATCAGAGTTTTTGATAGTTGGTTGGATAACAAGCTATTTCAATACATTAGCCTTGATTCTGGGGAATAAAATATATCTGTGTTTCCCCACGTTCATTGGCAAGACGAATAATTGACAAGATAATCAGAAGATCAGTCGAGAATGAAAATAATCAGTAGCTGCAGCCTTACACTTTAAAAACCATATGGACTGCAACAGTTATTTTCACTACTGTCTAATCTGATTTGTCAAGTGATTGTTTGCCTTATAAAATGTCATTATAATGGTGAAAAATGCCCATCAAGACATCTCAGATCCTCAGGTGAAATCTTCAAACGTTTTCTTTCTTCTGTGCAACTAAATGTCCAAAAACCAAAAATATTTGTTTATGATAATGGAAGAAAACATTCACATTTGAGAAGCTGGTACCAGAGAATTTCATATTCTTTCTTCAAAACCTACTTAAATTATTCTGATTAATTTTCTGCTGATCAACTTATTGATTAATCGACTAATCATTGCAGCCCTAAAGTTGGTTATTGCAGGATAAGGTTTCTCACCACAGCTACCGCCAGCTACTATAGAAATATTTGGGTACTGGGAGGAGCCACAGGCGCCCTGAAGTGACTTATCAACACTTTCTGGAGCAAATCATAATTTGATATAGTTTCATACGGCTCATTAGGAGTCAGAGAGAGGAAATGACTTACTCGAAAGCGAAGAAGAGAGAGCAGGTCCCGACGATGAGGAACAGGGTCAGGTAGAAGACTCCTTTCTGCCGGGCCATCATCACCCGCCCGTCGCAGCAGAAAGTGTTTTTACCCGGGAGCTTCTCCCATTTTCGCACCTTTCGTGTTATCATCACCGCCGACATGGTGTCCTCTTTTCAGATCAGTCCTCAGTCCTTGTTTGGGTTGATGTCAGGTGTTACACTGTAAAACGATTCAGACAATGAGCAGCTGGGGCTGAAGAGGATCTTGCCCTCATATATTCTTGTAAATACGCTCAGTCAGTGTTGCACACAGTCCATTGGCGAAAAACAAACGACTTACTCAATATTATTACAGATTTCTGCACAGGGCGAAGACTGTGAAGCATTTTCCTCTCGTTAAAGGCGTCGCAATCACATCATCAGTGTTTTCCAATCCATTTTATTTCCATTTTCCCGTCTTTACTGCAGCATGTCATTCCCACAGAGAGGCTCCCACGCTGCTCCAGCAAACAATCTCAATCCCTTCGCCGTCCTCTCAGAATTAGAAATTATTAGAAATTCATCCAAATGCTTGCGGCAGATGTTCCCCAGCAGTAGCTAGAAAATCCAGCCGTGGCTGTTGCACTGGGGGAGTGGACCTTGACCGGTTGACATTCATATCATCTCGATAAATGATTTAAAAAAAAAAAAAAAAAGATCGTACAGGCGAGCTGCTCCGCGATCACAGAAATTAAACTATGACCATGCTGCTGGACATGGACATTAAGCCTTCATGTAAAAATAAGGAAAGATCGCGGCGTGTGTGGACGCAAGCGTAAAGCTGTTGGATGTGCTTTTTTTCCCGCAGGATGCCAGCTCTCGGTTTTAGTCAATGGCAGCAGGAAACACGCCTAGATTGAAATGTCTAATCTTAAAGGGGCAGGACAGGTAAAAGAAAAAGGAACAAAGGACACAGAGAAAGGTCCTATTTAGATCACATTAATATGCTAAGTTGCTCGCCTGTCGTATTACCCAAGGGAGGAGACTGTGAGGGAGAGTATTAATGAAGTTAATTGATAATAGACACCAGATGCATTAATCCCCCAAGTGTTGCTTATAGGCTCCAGAGAGCAGAGGAGAATACTGCAGAGAGAGAAAATCATCTTTTACTGGGATCAGTGTAAATATAAAATATGTTGACTTTAATGTTTTTTTTTGCATAGTACTTTATTTGTGTTTCATGCCAATTATAGTTTATCGTTTTGTCTTATTGTTTGTCCTTGCATATCCACATCCAGTAATCTATTACATCTGTGTTCTGTTTTGGGTATCAGCTATGTCTTTGTAAGTAAAAAAATAGATGTTCATACAACAAATTGAAGGGAAAAGCTGAATAAATGAGTGGAAAAAACATAACAAATGCAAATGCTTCCTGCATGGCGCAATGAAGCAGTTAACATCCAGTCGTGCTCTGTGACATGTATAAAAGTGTTGAGCAGGCCCAGCTGATTCTGATTGTGTATCTGGATAGCAAGAGGACAAGAGCTAAGTGATTTTGGTTAGAGGACAGGTGGCTGCTCAACTGGCTGGTGTTTCAGTAACAGTGTCTAAAGTGACATCTACATTTAGATCTATGGGAAAGACAGATCAGGAAATAGGTTTCAGACATTGTGGTCAACAGCCCACATTTGATGACTGTGATGCTCGTGCATTAGTGTGCTATGTAAGTGAAAACAGACAAGCAATTCTTCCTTAGGTAACTACAAGTGCCAATGCAGGACCTGATCAGACTGTGTCAGCAAGAACAATCCATCAACAATTACATAGAGAGGGATATTAAAACTGGGGCATCATTACAAAGAGAAAGATGAATGAGAGCTCAGTGTTACAAAAACCATAAACACTTGTCATCCTTCACCATATTCTCCACAAGTGGGTGCATGTACAGCAAGAGGACAGAACAGGCCTGAATGCTTTACCTCCTTCAGTGAGGCGATCCGGGGGGCTCTGTTATGCAGTGGGGGCCATTTTGCTGGCATGGTTTGGGTCCACTTGTCCTTTTAAAAGGAAGGGTCACTGCGAATCATTAGAAAGGTGTTATCAGTGATCACCTTTATCCTGTGATGGAACATTTTATGAGTGGTCTCTCCCAGGACGACATAGGGCATGAGGGGTCACTGAATGGTTTGATGAGTATGAAAATGATGTGAATCACATGCTGTGACCTTCACAGTCACCAGATCTCAACACAGTTGAACACCTATGGGAGATTTTGGACCGACATGATAGACAGTGCTCTTCCACCACCATCGAAACACCAACTGAACTGAGGGAATATCTTTTGGAAGAATGGTGCTCATCCCTCTAATAGAGCTCAGAGACATGTAGAATTAATGCCAAGACACAATGACAGAATAAAACCAAAACCAATACATTTTTGTTTAATTTGAACACATTTTTATGTCAGTTACTTTTGTTGTTTGATGCTGATCGCTGAAAGAAGAGAAATATGAGCAGTTAAAGAGGAAATCTTCCCAGATGTGAACATGCTTTACAGTGTTCACAAATGGAAGCCTATAATTCATTTAAAAAAATAACTATAATAATTATGGCAAAAAATGTGCAACTCTCATACAGTTTATATTCAGCTCAGATCATTAGGAAATTGCTTTCAAGTTATTAATGATCATAAAATTAGGATTTGTTGCATTTTTAACAATCCCAGGTCATGAAAGTGTTCGGTTGACTTAGGCCTAAAATTGAAAAGCCCTTTACTAGAAATGTGGGTGGTTTCAATTGGAGTTTGAATTATGAAGCTGTTAAAAGTGCTCAGGGGAGTTAATAAATATTTCTAAGTTGAGTTAATTATTTGACGTTGAAGTCGGTTATAATTATTGACCTTGTATTGGCAATGTCTCTTCTTTAACATTAAATCGCTTGTGTTGTGTCTCATACAGAAGACCCAAGTCCATCTTTTAGAAACACTGCAGTCAATGAACTTGTATGAATCTCAGACTCAACCTTCTTGTTTTGTTGTGATTGTAAAGTCTGCAGGAGCTTAATTGAAAGTCTGTGTGATTACATGTCCACGGATTGTAATAATAATGTCATTTACACTGGCAAGTGTCTTTTTAAGTACTGGCATAAAAGGTTTTACTGTGATGGTTCAATATTGGCTCAGCTCAGACATACAGCCATTATAGCTTCCATGTTGCTACACAGAGGAGCGAAGATGGCATTTTATCAGACGCACAGGGGAGGGATGGACCATAAACGAGTGAGCCAAACATCTCTCACTCTCAGTCTGCCCTGAAGTTATAAACCCAGTGTAGAAAAAGGCTACTGTAGGTCCTCATCAGACAGGAGCCCTGCTGTTTTATATCTACTCCAGAGCAGGACATTATTAATACATGACCTGTCAGATGTTGTTTTGACTAACCTGCCAACTCAGGTTCAAATATACTCATGACTGCAGACAGCTAAAAGTCTGAATTCAAATTCCGGTGCCACTTTTCATCACATAAGGAGAGATCTGGGAGGAAGAGGTAGATTGATCTTTATTTATCATTTGACACAAGATGAGACTCCACCATGAGACATTGTTTTATTTTTATGACATCTTATCTATTCAGTCATTTACTGAATATAATTTTTGTTTTGGTGAGTATAAAGGGAACGACAACTAGCACTTTTCCATGTACTATGTTATAGTAAATATCAGAGATGCAATGGGTAAATAAAGAGAAATATTAACATAATAAATTGTCAATGTTGAGACATTAGACTCAGTGTCATATATTAGAGAAGATGTTTATCCAGAAAGAATAAATAAATCATCATGCAAACATACGCCATCATTCAAACTTTTATAATTTCACAAATTATCCCCAGTTTATATGTGACAAACATTTAGTTTTGTGTTTATGTGCAGGGAATTAACACAAAAACATCAACACCCGACCAGAATATTTCCCGCCTTATATCCACCATGTTAGTCCCATTATAATTAGTTCCTGATGTTGCTGTTCTGGTCATGCTTTCATGTTTTACTCCACTCAAATAATCTTAATGTCTAGTTGCCACTGTCCACTACCACCTCAGCAGCAAACAGCAGAAACACATGGTCCGAGAGCAGTTGGTGAACATAGTGGAGCATTAATAACAGCAGTGTATAACAGTGCAGAGCTCCCCTCTGTTCGGTTTCTTCCCCTCCCCTTCCTGCTCCACCGTCTGTTACAGGTGTTTGTTTGTTCCCCACCATGGTTGTATTAATTCAACCTAATGTATCTTATAATAGGCCTACATCCATGTTCCCCACATCCATGGTTCCACAGTTTACTTTTCTAATGCCGTTATTCATCTGACTCAGCCGAGACTGGGCTAAGGAATCCGGTGTTGTGAGTAGTTTTGCCGCTTTGTATCATTGACACAGGAAAGGAAAGAGTGAACCGGCAAACATGAAGTCCAGCTGCAAGTGACACAAAATCCATAAAGGAACGTTCAAAATTCATAAGCTGCAGCTAAAAGCCATGAACTGCAACAGGAAGTGAAGGTAAAGGTCCAGCAGCAGCTGTGTACGAAGTTCAAAATACTAATAAATAATCATAACATTCATAAACATACAGTTCATTCATTTGAAAGCTATTTTAAATAAATAAAAAGCTTAAATGTCACATGTTATTCCTGTGCCCAAGGACAGTTAAGTCTGTATTATCTGTCTTAAAGCTAGAAATCAGAGAATCCCCAAATCCTCCATAGACAACACAAGGAGCACTGACTTTGTTCTGTGTCAACAGTTGTGTAATCCATTTAAATATCGATTAAATGTCATAAGTGTTGAAAAATGTTGAATGCACTTTTAATTGAACCCCCCACATTAAGAGCTAATGAGTGCTAATGATGAACTAATACAGTAGAAAAACTGTAAAGTGCAGTGAGATAATGAATATTATGATTTGGTGCTATACAAATAAAAATGAATTGAATATAAAGGGTTGGATTCTCCTTTAAATGCACAATCCATGAATATAATATAGAGCTCAATCCTCAAAGCATCTGTTGCAGAAAAATTAATAGCTACATACATGAATCGCAAAACTCTAATAATTCCAGTGTTCATTGAAATTTTTATTCCCGATTAGTTGTGGGCTAGCAGTTAAAAAGTTGGACTCTCCTTTGTGATTGGACTGTCATTGTCCATTAAGATTCAGGAATAAAAACATGGTCAAAATTTATACAGCAATGTCACACACACTGTGTGGGTACTTTGAGCACTGAGTCTTATATGCAGTTTCCTGCACACATGAACAAAAACACTTCATCCTTCAGTGTCTTTGTGTAACCTCACCACTCATTTGTTCAGATTTTAATCACACCATTTGTGTTTTGATCAAATACGAATCTCTTTGCCACAAGCACAATTGTTTCTCAAGCAAATTTATTTTACAGGTTTACAAAGGTTGACCTAAAATTACCAACTTCAGAATTATCTGTGAACATCACTTTAAAAGCTTAAATCATCATTAGGACTCTAATTTGAGCCTATATGGGGATGGGGTGTAGTCATGCGCATGACTTACCATTTCTTGCTGGTTGTGGGGGACAACCAGAGTAAGGCGTTGTTCTGGCCTGAGGTGGATTCTGGCATCCGTATGTCTTTGTTGAACACATTGACAATCTGTGCGTGAATGTGTAATCAGTAAATATAAAACCATATATATACATATATATATATATTTAAAATCAAATATCTATATATATGTGGCGGTAATGCACCTTAACGCTGGTTGCCACCCGCCAGTAAACGAAAGGAAGAAGAAGAAGAAGAAGAAAAAGTCCCTCCTCCAAAACAATCCGACTGGAAACATGTTGTGTGTTGTTGTGGAGCAGCTACCGGTTACCTGCAGCTAATTTAGCACTCCTGAACCGCCAAAACATAAACACAGTGGATTTTTTTGTTTGTTTGTAAATGGACGGTGTACCTTGCCTTCGTGTGTCTCAGTGTCACGCGCAGCAGTTCAGGTAATCAGCCGTCCATTGAGTGCATAGCTCTTAGGCTAAGTTAGCCGCTAGCCGTCAACTTGGGAACCGAGAGCAATGTGCGCACAGAGAGATCTTTTGATTAACATGTTAATATCGTCTGTCGGAAGTAATTGTGACATTACATTCAAAATCCATATTTCACAGGAGATGTCTGCAGTTCAGTGGAGCTCTTGACCTGAATTTGTGTCTGCTGAAAAACTCAGATGGGACAGTCCTCTTGCCCATTTTACCATCCTGTCTGTCACAACTTGATCTGCACTCTCTCAGAAGCAGGGTGGCTTCAGACAGTGCTTGTGAAATAGTTTGGAGTCAGGTAATTAAAGCAAAGTGAAATATTATTAGCAACAGACACTGCTACACTGCACCTTTTAAAGTCTTCTTATGTGTCTTATGTTGTCTGTGCTGTTTCCACCTCAGTCTACTCTGCAGTCAAAGAGAGAGAGGGGAAAGACAGATGGGGGTAAACTTGAGAAAATCCTCCAGGAGCTGACGGAGTCTCATGGTGAAAGATGGACACAGGAGATGAAGAGGGACCTCCCTCGCAGCTTCCAGAGGCATGGAGACTTAGTCCTGCTGGGAGATGGCTCTTTCTCCCTGCCACTATGGAAGAAAATGGGTACTGTCCTCAAGCACTCTATTGACACCTGCACACCTGCTTATTCATGCAATTACTCATTCAGCCAATAATGTGGCAGCAGTGTATAAAATCATGCAGATACAGGTCAGGAGCTTCAGTTAATGTTCTGACATCAAACATCAGAATGGAGAATAAATGTGATCTCTGTAGTTACTCATTCATTCACTGCTCCCTAGTCATTATCAAAGGAGGACTATACAGTGAGCTCATCTGTTATATGAAAAACACTTTCAGACACTACTGGGTTAATTGTCACTGCACAGTTTTTCATTCTTTCAGTGAGAGCACAATGGATGATGGTATATATTGCTTGGTTAGTGACCATCGTTTGTACACTACTTTTCATGACACATTGTGGGATACAATGCGTCATGAAAAGTTTACAGAATGGAGAACTGCCTATATAGTGGACCATATACAGAGTAGCGAGTGATTTTGGACACAGCCAGTGACTTTGATCGTGACATGATTGTTGCAAGACGGGCTGGTTTGAGTATCTGTGAAATAGCTGATCTCCTGGGATTTTCACACACAACAGTCTCTAGAGTTTACTGAGAATGGTGCCAAAAAAAAAAAATGGTCAGACTTGTAGGAGCTTACAGAAAGGCTTAAGGCAACTCAGATAACCACTCTTCACAACTCCAATGAGCAGAAAAGCAAACAGAGGATGCACAACATGTCAGGTCTTAAGGCGGATGAGCTACAACAGCAGACGACCATGTCTATTTCTACTCCCGTCAGCCAAGTACAGGAATCTGAGGCTGCAGTGGACACAGGCTCACCAAAACCTGACAGTTGAAGACTGGAGAAATGTAGCCTGGTCTGATGAATCTGGATTTCTATCGAGGCAGCAGAATTTGGCATCAACAGCATGAATCCATGGACCCAATCTGCCTTGTGTCAGCAGTCCAGGCTGCTGGTGGTGTAATGGTGTAGGGAATGTTTTCTTGGCACGCTTTGGGCCTCTTAATACCAGTCGGTCATAGTTTGAATGCCACAGCCTATCTGAGTATTGACTATGTGCATAGTTCGATAATGCACCATGTTACAGCAAAAGTTGCCACCAACTGCTTTCATGAACATGACAATGGGTTCAGTGAACTGCAGTGGCCTCCCCAGCCACCGGATATGATCCACTGGAACACCTTTTGGATGTGGTAGAACAGGAGATTGACAACGCTAAAGAAATTATGTGATGCAGTCATGTCAAACATGGAGCAGAATCTCAAAGGAGTGTTTCCAATGTCTTGTGGAATCGATGCCACAAAGAACTGAGACTGTTTTTGAGAGCAAATGGAGGCCCTACCCAGTATGAGTATGCTGTTCCTACTAAAGTGCTTGGTCAGTGTTGGTCTACAAACTAATTAATTAGGACATTTATTGATTGTTTTATACTTGTTTAGATCAACAGCTATGGAGCGCAGTGGCGAAAGGGTTGGCAGCAAAGCGTTTGGCAAAGATGAGTCGAATATCCAAGGATGGATTTAGATCTCCTGTGGTGACGATGCTGTTAGGAGAGCACAGCTGGGTCAAACATGTGGACAATGGTATTAGGTTAGTCTCAGTAATAATCAGTCTTTTTCTTTTCTTTTCTGAATATGTCTTGGGCACATGCTTACTAAATTTGACATGACAAAACCTGTCTGAAACTTATCATGTTTTCTTCACCTGTGTTTCAGGTATGAGTTTGATGTTACCAAATGTATGTTCTCAGCTGGAAACATAACAGAGAAGCTCCGGGTAGCTGGATTTGACTGCAGAGGGGAGACTGTGGTAGATTTATATGCAGGTAGTAAAACTGTGTCATGTATTATGAGTTTTTTTTTTAAACAGATGATACTATGTATATAAATTCTTTGTACTTTGTACATCTTATTAGTTGGATCAGTTACACCACACATATACAGTATCATACAATCCAGTGCAGTGATGAATTCTGCCTTTCAAAGGTGAAAAACACCAGCTCATGTCCAGGTTTAGGTTTCATCCCTGTCCATCGTGTTGCTTTTATTGTGTCTGGTAATTAAACATAATTTGAATTATGACATGAATGATGGTAACTGTCCCAACTGGTGTCAGGTATCGGATACTTCACTCTCCCATATCTGGTCCATGCGGGGGCCAGTCATGTTCACGCCTGCGAGTGGAACCCTGATGCTGTTGAAGCTTTACAGAAAAATCTTGAGGCAAATGGAGTGTCTGACCGCTGCACGATTCACCACGGAGACAACCGACAAGTAACCTTTTTCTCCCTCTGCTACATGTATTGTTTACACGCAAAAGCATTAACTCTCTCCCTCAGGAACTGATTATTTCACTACATGGTTGAAAGTGTTGACTTCTGCACTCTAGTGGCTGAGATTGGTACCAGAGAGGAATTCGGACTCCCATCTCCACTGATCAATTACAGAAATCATTGGATTTTTTGTGATATGATGATGAAATCCCTGAATGAATGAAGTTACAAAGGTTTAGTTTTAACAGGAACTGCACAAAAGAGAAAGATATATTGTTACAAGACAATAATAAGAAGATATTTTGACAAATAACTGATCAACATTTTGGTGGTTATTACAACAATAAATGTGATAGTGACTGACTTGATTTCAAAATCTAATGGTACTTATGCAGAATAAGAATGGCAATTCAACTTTAAATGTTGGTTTTGTTGTCTGGGTGCAACAGAAAGTTGTACACTAGATGTATCCCAAGTGTAGTTTGGTTCTTTTGTTCTTGTTTTTGTTTTGTTGTTGTTTTTTTTCCTTGTAAATTCCAGTATAATTGCAAGCCTATATCTGGCATCACACCAGTAGTGTTAAATTTGTATAGGTCTTTTTACATATATTACACATTTCAAAATCAGAAGCACCTTGGTAATGTGTACAATCTCGTTTTGTCAAAGTACAAAATTTCTCTTTTTTAAAATCCCATTGTTCACCCTTTAATCAGTATCTTTCAGAATATCTTTATAGGTGAAATCATTAGGAATTGTGGCTTTTGTCAGGAGTCATAGTTAGTCTATTCTATGTTAAATGCATGTGCAACAATCTAATGCATCGTAAAAAAGAAATTGGTTAACAGTATTGATGACCTTTTTTATTTTATTTTTTCCAGCTCCAGCTGTGTGACATTGCTGACCGGGTGAATCTGGGTCTCATACCGAGCTCTGAGGACGGCTGGCCTGTCGCCTGTCGCCTGCTGAAGAGAACAACTGGTGGCATTTTGCACATTCACCAGAACGTTACCTCTCCATTACCGAACACTGCAGCCATTCCATCTATCAATGACGCCACCCAGAGGGTTTCTGGGAAGAAAGCTGACAGAGAGGTGTGGCAGGCCTGGGCTGATGACACAGCAAACCGCATCACTTGTCTTTTAAGGGACATCACTGGTGCATTGTGGAAAACAAACATCCAGCACATAGAGCATGTTAAGTCATATGCACCTCGTGTTCACCATGTTGTGCTAGACTTGGACTGTAGACCGTCCTGAGCTGAAGAGATGAACACAGATACAGAGTGGACACAGCGGCTCTGAACAGTTTAATGTACTAAAGTAGATTTTTTCCAGAGAGGAAAAAGCCAAACACAACACCAGCTGATTTCTATGATTATGATTATTTCATTTGTCAGTTAGTGAAATCAGCTGCTGCTGTATTTTTATAAACCTTTATTTGTCCAGGGCAATTGAGCGCAAATGCTATTTTATTTTAGAAACGCCCAGACTCACACATGCAATTTTAATCAAATGTGGAAGCGGCCCAGCCATACCTGAACCACGGCCTTATCTGTTAGCCACTCGACAACTCTACGGGAGCGGGGGGGGGGGCACTTCACTGTTGTCATATACTCATTGAATTTCACTCTGGTGTTTGATCCTCAGACCTCTTGTGGTTGGCTGAAATGAAAAGGACACCAGGAAATTACTCACATCCACTGCTCCTGACTCGCATCACTGTGCCACTTAATTACAGGGACATGCAAACTTATTAAACTTCAATATTCTGTTAAACATCAGGATTCATGTAGTTGGCATGGTTGTAAATGTTAACCTCTACAATAAATAACATACATATACAGTAGTACTCTGGTTTGTCAATATACCTTTACAACTTCAGGAGGCCACAGCTCATTTTTTGATGTGATAGTTTCACTTCTGAGCTATAGACAGGTTACAAATTAAAGGGAAACCTTGAATAAATGAGTGCAGATGTTTTCATACAGAGGGGGTCACTGAATGGTTTCATGAGTATGGAGATTATGTGAATCATGTGATCATATGATATGGCCTTTGCAATCATCAGATCTAAGTTGAACAGCTATGGCAGATTTTGGACCCAAATAAGGGAATATCCTCTGGTTGAGTGGTGTTCATTCCTCCAGTAGTAATCTATGCCAAAGAGCACTGAAGCTACTAAGACAGCTTGTGGTGGATCAACATGTTACGAAGAGAGTTAAAGCTGTTTTTCCTTTGTCACCCATCTGTATCTACATGGAGGAGCCAGGAGGTGAAAGCATAAAATCGGTCTTTGCACTACTTAACAAAAATCCATATTAAATATATTAAACAGACATGATTGGATCTTTTCTTAGGGAGTCATGGCCCCTATGAGTTTCTTCCTAAGTATAGTATCAATCATATAAAATACAAAATCAGAAGGAATATCCAGGGCCACCTCTCTCTATTCCTAGCCAAGGCTGAGACCTCAGTCTATATGGCTGATGGCACACTGGGTTTTTAGATACCAGAGACTTGTTCAAAATGGAAATTAAAACTGACTCCATGAGACTTTAAAACTAATTTTATAGGCCTAGTGATCATTTGCCTAACAATGTGTTGTTTTGCCATCACTTTACATACGCCCTCACAACAAATAATTGCATAGTGAATAATAGGAAACTATAGGCAAAGGCACACCATCTACAGATGTGGAAGGAGTGCTCCGATCCTTTTACTAGGATGTGGTATAACCAAAAGTAGTTATATCACAATGTAAAAATACTCAGTTTCAAGGATAGTCCTGCATTAAAAAATTTAGCTTGAGTACATTAGCAGCAAAATGTACATGGAGTATACACAGTAATGTACTGATTTTGCAGAATGGTAGAACTTTGCATATCCTGAAAGATTATATTTAGTGTGCACAGGTTTTAAGATCTCAACAGTATTTTTTTCAGGACTCTCCTTTGGTTTTGTTGCAGGACAACTTACAACTTTATCATTCTTATTGGTGACCTCACGTAAAGCCCACCTCACCCGAGCTTTCAGCCATACACCATGGTGAGTGTGCAGGGCCTTAAATCTGAATTATTGCATCAGAGTGCAGTAAAAAGTACAATATTTCCCTCTAAGTATAAAGTAGCATAAATACTAAAAGTATGCTTAAGTTAATTACAAGTACCTAAACATTACTTCAGCAAATTTATTTACTTTCCATTGTCCACTGTAGCACCATTTTTTTCTAATTAGCAATAAATGGCTGGCTGCATTTGCTTTTATGTTGCATTTCTCGCGTTTACCGTCTCACAACTTTTTTTTCTTCAGAGGAAAGAAAAAAAGTAAAAGCCCTGTTTCAAAGGGACAGATTTTCCACATTCGGCCCTTCTGTGGTAAACAGAGCAGAGGAAATGCACCTGTCATGGAAAATGTGGAGAGGCGCTCCTGCCTGTCTGCTGCAAACTTTCCCTATCTTCCGGTACTTGGGACTTCTGTAGCACAAAGTCAACTGTGCTGGAGACGGGAGGCAAGAAGACGAAGACGAGGACGTGGGAAGGAAAGGCAGTGTTATAGCTGCTGAGGAGAGTGAGTAAACTTGTCTGTAGATAGACGGCAATACAATTATGTTATATGCGCTCTTCGCTTGTCTGCCACTATTCACGCTTTTTTGTTGTGTTTTCTGCCAGGAAAATCTCGCTGCCGTGGTGACGCCAGCCGTGAAGCGGGGGTGCAGTCGACTTTTATCAACAGGTGCGTGTAATTTTCTTTAATTAGCTTGAGCAGTAGTAAAACCACTGAATCATCTTCCCAAATATTTAGACTTTACAGTCGGGTAAACGCAAACTGGTTTCTAGAGACTTCGTGAAGTGGATGTGGAATAACGTTAGCATTAATTTACTTTTCTGCTGGTAACGTTGACGTTCGACAGCTTCAGCCGTTAGCAGCTTATTATGGAGTTCATTAATGATTCATCTGAATTTCTTATCATGGTTTGAGATCTGCCGTCATGTTTGTTAAATTCATGCTGTTAATCTATTGTAAAATACAGTTACAGTCGAATTCAAGCAAACTGAAGACATCGTTAAGTGGATGTAAGTGGAGTAACGTTCGTATTTTAAATTAAAGTTTTAACGTTCGACCCGCAGCCGTTAGCAACTCATCACGGACCTTTTTTAATTCTTAAAACCTGAATTTCAACATCGCAGACTGGTGATCTGTAAAGGCTATAACAGTTATGATTTGAGATCTTTCCTCGTGTAGTCTCATGTTTGTTAACATCATATTCACTCTGGTAACCTTCTGTAGTCTCATCAGCCAACACTGTGTCAGTAACAAAACTTTATAGAGCCTATCAAGTAGACACAAGCTGAGAAAACCAGTCGAAAGTGCTGATGTGGAGCTTTCCCACTCTCATCTATGTCTACAGTCCACTTGAAAGACTACAAATAGGCTTTTATATAGTTTTATTTGTATATAGTGATACAAGATTTTTTTTTTACAACATCCAATTGTTCTGTTATAATGATTATTACTAAAGATTATCAACCCCTGTGTCATTTGTCTTGTATTTTGAATTCCTAACAGCTTAATACTCAGACATTGAAAAAATGATTCAGACTTACAGCTGAGTTTATGCTGATAACAAAGCTGGAGCAAGCAAAGTTTAAAAGGAGTTAAACAAAGATAGAAATGAATGCATAGTTAATCAGCAAAGATTAACTAAAATGAACCTGAACCCCAGAGGATTAATGTCATTTGCACTTTACACAAGCCTACACGCTTGCCTGCACTATGCTACTCACTCTTTAATGTTGTGTTTGGTGTTTGTAAAGGATTGTTCAAGTTAGTGCAGTATCTCTCAGTCAACTGGTACAGACGCATGCGCCATTTCCTTGAAAGTTACCAAGACAAGTTGCCTAGCAGGTATTATTAAATTCCTGCTAGGAAAGACATTTAAACAATGAGGGAAAAAGGTCTCAGGTTATGCCTGTGGTTTTAAATTGCAGATTTCACTCTGATGAGCTACTTAACATGCACATTTACCTCTAAGTTAAATCCCCTTTGAGTCAGTTCAAATAATAAATGAAGCATAAAGTTTCAGATGGGAACATGACAGATGATAAGTTGGATTTTTGGCTTAAACAAATGGTTACGCTACAGAACTCCACCCATTTCTCTGTATCCTTAGAGGGTGGGAACCCTCCATGATAGCCAAGTTCATGTTGTTTTTGCCCGTCCCACTCAAAACAACCTTTCACCCTGGCAGAGGCTTTCTGTGGGATCTTTAAAACCTCTCGCATCCTGGTTCCTTGTAGTCATTTATCATTTTTGGAAGGCTGCGTTCAGCCAGAAGCTTGTTCCAAAGTTTTAGACTGATTCTTGTCCCCTTGTGAAACAGAAATCATGTCTTAATGAACAGTGTCTGCTGGCTTTATCTAGATTTCAGTGGGTGATAATTTTAACTGTTCTTTTAATCTTTTGCCAAAAAGGGCTTTGAATACAGGAGAAGGAACAAAGTTACTGTATATTGTCTGCGATGAGATTCAGACTGTCTAATGACGCATTCTGTTCTTTGTTTGCCTGCTTTCTCATTAATGAACCAGCTCCAGCAGGGCAGAGTTATACAATAGGCAGTGGTCTCACTCCATGGAGGCCAACAGGAAGAGAGAAATGTCACTCAATCGTCCACCAGTCATTTGATTAGAACCACACAGCTCTCTCTACCTGTTATATCTTCATCACTGCAGGACATCAAGTCACCAAGTTCCTCTTTTTTATTGTAGAGCTCTGCCTATGTTGCCTTGCGTGGGATCATAGGAAAACATGCTCTCCAGTAGTAAAAGTAAAGAGTGCTGCTCACCTGCTCGCTGTCAGCTTTTTAAGTACACATTTTGTCAGTATGTAATCAACTTTTTTTTTTTTTTTTTACAGTAACACACTAGAGGGTTTATTACCTTTTCACTCAATTCCTGATGTTCTGTTTTGTCTTCAGGGGAGCTTCTTGATGCTAGAGTGATTGGGCTGAGCCAGTTAACCTGCGCTAAGGGGCTTTGGTTGGAGGCACAATGCCCCAGGCTGCTGACATGATCAACCTGGGCTTCCTGTCTGACTCTGAGCGGGAGCTGATCCTGGAGGTGCTGCGACGGGACGAGGACCTGAGGCAGGCTGAGGAGCACCGTGTTCGGTGAGAGGAAAGCATTTTCTGTTAATTGTGCTAAATGGTTAACTTACTTGCTTTACTTCTCTCTATGTATGGGTTATAAAAATGCCAAAATATGCAAGGTATTACAAATTTAGTCAATTCAAGGGATTACTATTTAAGTCTAACTTAATCATTTCAAGTGTAGCCTAATTCACCAGGTATTTTTAATGTTTTTTTGATATTTATTATCGTTAGAATCTGACTAGTGAATAGGCTGATATCTCACAATATTAGCTCAATGCAGACAAATATTGGCACATACACTGGCTTTAAAGAAGTTTTGTTTTGTTTTTGTTTTTTATCTCAAATATTGATATCTGTATCAGCAGTCCAAATATATACATACATACAACATATTATTATTATTATTATTATTATGTTGTAGGTAGTTAATATTTGTTAGTGTCAATATAAGGTTAGAAGGAATTTGTTGCTGGCAAGGTTGGGTTTAACCTCAAATCATTTGTAGGTACTGACCAAATTGTGTCTGTAGAATCAAGTATCAAAAACAAATGTACACATGTAGTGGACGACAAATATATCTTATCTTAATATAGACATTTTTGTGCTGCAGTGCTCAATATCTTGGTTTAGGGCTGGGCTATAATTCAGAATTATTGTTTATGCATGGTAATGATATGATGTGTTTGTTTTGTAAGAATGTGACAAAATTAGTTATTGCAGTTTTAGTTGTAATTTGTGAAGAGTTTGTCTGATATAAAGTTTAACAGTGAAATATAGTTAACTGCTTTGTACATTAGTTTGATTATTTTATGTGCCTCAGCCTCAGTTCCTTGTGGCATTGATTCCACAAGATGTTGGAAACACTCCTTTGAGATTCTGCTCCATGTTGACATGACTGCAACACATAATTCCTGCAGATTTATCAATTTATCAGCTGCACATTCTTGCTGCCAATCTCCCATTCTACCACATCACAAAGATGTTGTATTGGATTCAGATCTGGTGACTGGGGAGGCCACTGAAGTTAACTGAACTCACTATCATGTTCATGAAACCAGCTGAAGACGACTTTTGCTTGGTAACAAGGTGCATTATCAAGCTGGAAGTAGCCATTAGAAGATGAATAAACTGTGGCCATGAAAGGATGTTCATGGTCGGCAATAATACTCAGATAGGCTGTGGCATTCCAACCATGGTCGATCAGTATTAAGGGGCCCAAAGTGTGCCAAGAAAACATTACCCACACCATTACACTTACCACCACCAGCCTGGACTGTTGACACAAGGCAGGTTGGGTCCATCGATTCATGTTGTTGACACCAGCTGTTTGTAGAACTGCCGCTCACTGGATGTAAACTCAAGAGACTGTTATGTGTGAAAATCTCAGGAGATCAGCTGTTTCAGAAATACTCACACAAATCTATCATATAACACTTGCACATGATTAAAAAAGATGAAATGTACTGTGTTTCTGTGTCTATTACAATGTTTGAACTTTTTCTAGCTCCTGTAGATGGCTTGCAAATTCTTGCTTCACCTATTGTATATGTAAAACCCAAAACTCAATGCATGATGTCATTTATGTGACGTTTTTGTTTCAGGAAGTTGAAAACAGAGTTGCTTGATGTGAAGAGGAAAGGGGCCAAACGTGGCAGTGGAAGATACAGTGAGCATAGTTGTGGCAGATGCCTGGAGCCTCTGAGCCGACTGACTGTTTTCTCCAGCCAGTGTAAGATGTGTAATCACCATGTGTGCCGCAACTGCCGAACACTCTTCCCAAATGGAACCTGGTTATGCAGCGTGTGTGCCAAAGAATCGTAAGATATCCTGTTTTTCTTACTGTCGCTTAAAAGTTCCTTGCCCCCCCCCCCCCCCCCCCCCTCCTCTTTTTTTTTTTTTTTTTTTTTTTTTTTTTTTTTTTTTTTTTAACCTCTACTAGTGCCATGAAGCTGTTTTTCTATGAATAGATCCCTGTTTTGTTTATCTTGTGCACACACATGATGGTTGGTTTGACTGTGGTTTCACTTTGTTCCAAACATGGATGTGAACAAGGTGGGATTTAATTTACTTAATTACTTAATTGTTAGAGCTCAAGGCAACACACAATGTATTTTGCTGGGTAACACTGAATGTAAACATAACTTTGAAATCATTAATAATCAGTATTTTGAGCCCAATCAACAAGTTGGTTCAACTTTATTATGACTTTGGAGGATTTAGGTTGTGATGCTGTTGAATTGTATTGATATACTGACAGATGTTTCTAGTACTTTGCCTAGAAGCATTGACACAAATAGACACATGAAAACTGTTATTTTGAGCAGTATCACATGATAATAAGAGTAATGTACACCATGTTGCAAAATGCTGAGGAGCTCACAGCACACAGCTCACAGCATGTTGGGTAACCATTAACTAATATGGTATTTAACTGCCGAATGAGGGTAAATTCTTTACACCTTTAAAAAGCGTTTGTTCTGGATTCCAGGGATCTAAAGAAAAGGACAGGTGACTGGTTCTACGATCAAAGGGTCAACCGTTTCTCCACAACGCCTGGACATGACCTAGTCAGGGTCTCCCTGAAAAAGAGACCGCAGTGTGAGTACAGGAAGAGGAAGTGGGTATCAGCTGTTCAACTAGGAATGTAAACAGCCCTCAGCCAGACCCAAATGAAATGTCCACAGTCACAGGAATGTTGTTTCACTTCAACAATGGAAGGAGAGAAATGTTAGAAAATGCAATAGCATGATTGCATGTTGTTTAACTGGTATGGGAGTGTGATATTGTTCTGTGTTATAGTGAAGAAGCGTGAAACAGCAGGAGAAATGCTGTTGAGAAGTACTGAAATAAAGCCAGATCCTCCCGCTCCTGTGCCTCGGCCCAGGCAGAAAAATCAGACGGACAGCAAAAGGTCTGATCTCATTCTTCACATCACTTTTGTCAGTTTTAGAAATGTTAACACATGGATTTCCGAAACACAGATTAAGATTGTCTCAACGTTTTTCACCTTTTCTGTGTCAGTCATTCAAGCAAGATTTCAGGATCACTTGCTTCGAGGGAATCATTTGAATCAAAGGAGGACATTTGGTCAAAGCCAGCTCACAGTGACACAGAGTCTGCAGAAAATGCCAGTATAAGTAGCAATAAAACGGAGACTGAGTCTGGTCGTGTGACCCCTGAGCAACCAAGGTAAACTCACTTACATTTATTCCAAAATGTACAAACGCTACACACTTAACTTCAAGCAACATTTGAGGCAGATAGTGCAGTGTTTATCACTCCTCCCTCACAGTTGATGACCTTCTAGTCTGAGGCCAATACAGCCAGGGCTCGGTCAGATCATAAATGCAGAAAGTTGTACCTGTAATTCTAAACTCTATAGTTTACACTAAGATACAACAAAGGTGTTCCAATGGGGACATAATTTAAAAATCAAAAATCTGTAGAAGTAAAAAAACGTCTTCCATAAAACTTTCCAAATTTTAAAGTATTGCTTAGGTCTGTCATTAATAAACTCGTCATAACATTAGCAACCTGAGGGTGGGGTGTATTTTCTTGCACCTCATACTTTTTGATTGTACTGTTAAAATAGAGAAAAATAATAAATCAACTTCATTAAATGTAGATGAGTGGTGACTCCTAACAAGAAAACATCCAAAATAATGAACAGCACAGCACTTCATTTAGGTTAGTAATTCATGCCAGTTTCTGGGATGGTTGTAACCCTGTTCGCAGTGTTTTCCAGTCAAAAATGTCCACATAAGTCATTTAATTGAAGTGCTGTCCTGTTCATGACTTTTGCTGTTAAAGTTCTCATATTACATAAAAATACACTGAGATATCCAAATGCAAATTTCAGGCAAACCTGCCTTTGAAAAGTAAAAAGTTGTATGTTTTAGCAGCTGTATTTAATTCAAATTTATTTTGTCAACCAGGAAAGAGACCCACTCAGTTCAGTCCAGCCCATCAGGGTCCAGTTCTTCCAGTCTCACCATCCCAGTCAAAGCAGATATTGTCAGCGCTGACAGCACCAACCCAGAAGCTAACAATGTAAGATGCGTTTAAGTGGACATGGTCTCAAATTATTTAAAATTTTTCTTCTCTGACTATGTCTCACCTTTTCTGTTACCACAGGCCCCAGAAGTAAAACCAGTCAGTCCAGCCCCAGAGTTGGACGTTGATAGAATCTTCAAGAAGAGTGTCAGACGCACCCAAAAGCCTCCTGGTTAGCATCTTATATTACCATGTACAGTGCTGTTGTTTTTATTCCATAATCAAATGAAAAACTTATACGTGTTTAATTGCTGATCTTTATGCTTAGAGTATGTATCGACGGTGGACCTGCGTGATGGACTTGACAAACCAGATGCCTCACTGGGCAACAGGAGTCATTCTGTACCAGGATTAGATGTACAGGTAAGTAGTTCACTGAAAAAATCCAACTTTTGATTTTGATTTGTGTGAAACACTAAAACCTGGCCTTCACAGTTATTGTTTCAGATATTTTAACATTGTCCTGCTACTTAACTCACTTAGATTTGGATAGCTATGGATACTGATGTCAAAGATGCATCCTCAGTTGGCTTATTAAAATACTCGGTGTACAAAAGTACATTTTTCCTGTATTCCAAATTAGATACATTTCTGTTAACTTACTTTATGTGTTGTTGTTTTAACTTTCTAAGTAACATGAACCTTTTGTTAAAACAAGGCAAATGTAACTGTTGTAAAAATGTCTTTTATGGTACCACAGGAAGATGACGAGGAGGAAGAAGATATTGACAGCTTGGTTAGCTTTCATAAAAGGACAATGGTATCAAGCTCCTCCAGCCTGCATAGCTCAAAGGTAAAGTATTGACATTTCTCACAGCTCGCATTAGTCCTCTAAATGCTCTTTGAAAAACCGCTCATTATGTCTCTCAGAAAGGAACTGATGTTAGATAATCTGAATGAGCATCTATAACCTCAGGATATCCTCCTTCAAGATAGGAAGTGTGAAATTGATGTGTAAAGGCTACCAAAAATGTTTCTATAGTTACCAAAGCCTTAGGGGAAAACAAAGCTGAGGCCAACAAGACTTTGATGCTGTCACTCTGGATTTGGATATTGACAGAAACATCCTGATCTCTGCTAATATCTTTGTTTGTCCCTGGCTCACTTTTTAAACCTCCAGCATGATATTTATTGCAATTTCTAACTTTTTAAACTTTGATCTGCAGCATAAAGCATTTAGAATATGTATGTCTGAGTATTATCTACATGTCAGTATTTGGTATTAATGAAACTACAACCTCAGGTGTATATGTGTTTCTACAGAGCACACTAGGCAGTATGATGAGTATTTACAGTGAAGCAGGAGACTTTGACAGTGTGGAGGTGAGTGGAGACCTCGTCTTCTCAATGAGCTACGACGAACCCACCCAGAGCCTCCAGGTCTTCATCAAGGAGTGCCACGGGCTGGCCTACGGCAATGCCTCACGGCAGCTTTCCAACCCGTAAATATTACCAACTTTCACTTTGTCCAAGCATAGCTGTAATGTGAAGCTCAAACAGGCAAAACACATAATTTGAAGAGCAGTTTACTTCAAACTTAAAACATTGGGCATCGAATAGCACAGCTGCGCCAAATTGTGGCTCTGAAAAAACACATTTTTCTACTGCACACACAGCCCTCAGTGATGCTAACACAGCTTTGATCAGTGTAGATAAGAGGTTGCTGGGTTTACAAAGTCACAATAATCACATTCCAAAGGTGATGACCTCAGCTACACAGGAAATTGAATGTCAACACATATTATTTCACAGCATTTATTCAGGAAATACAGAATAAAACAGTCATGTCCAAGAGAAAGACTGAGTGACATACTTTTCTCTTTTTGTGTTTCAGTTATGTCAAATGTTACCTACTCCCTGACAAATCTCGCCAGAGCAAAAGGAAGACCACGACGAAGAGAAACACCATAAACCCCGTCTACAAAGAAACACTGAAGGTGATGGTTTATGACTGGCTCCTCTCAACTTGTAATGCAACTGTTGACCTTATCCTGTTGACTTAATGACACTCCCTGATTAGTGACCTTGCGCCAAGCCTGCTGCAAATAGTGACCACACCTACAGAGACCTTAAGATTGATATTGACATTGCTGATTAGAATACCTTTTGTCAAATATTGATTTTGGTCCTGGCTTTCAGTGTAGAATCAGCTTAAATACAGTAGCAAACAAAACTGCTGAAAAGAACATCATCTGGGTGAATCTATTTGTAACAAATTATTGCTCTGTCATTTTGGATTGCACTTTAAAGGTTTGGAAGAAGGTAATTATTCAGAAGATTTTGTGCAACTTCCAATAAACTCTGAAATCACCTTCTTCTTTAATCTATAGTCCTTGATTTATTTAAAACTCCCAGAGCATGAGAGCATTACAAGACCTGTCCATCACTGTATCAGCACTGAGACAGGCCTTTGATCCATCAAGTCTCCTCATCTTCCACTTCCAGTACTCTGTCAGCCGCTCCCAGCTGTTCACCCGCTCCATGTTGATATCAGTCTGGCATCATGGTCGCCTCAGCCGCAACGCCTTCCTGGGAGAGGTGGAGATTGCTCTGGACTGCCGAGACCTTGACTCACCGTACGAGGACCGTGTGTCTCTCATGGCAAAGGTAGATCAGAGAAACTGAATTTGTTTTTCTTTACCACACTATGATGGACTGGTGCCCAGTGGAGTTGTGCGTTGTGTGTATCTTTTGAGGTCTAACAAACATGTTAAATACATTTCCTTCCTTTTATAAAACATTTACAAAGCTGATTTTTCTTAAAAGTTCATGACTTGCATTGTTTACATTCATGTTTCTTATTATGTTTATTAGATGAGTAATGCAGTGTTGACAAAATAATGTTAACACCTTACAGAAAAGGACTTAAAGGTGTCCTGTGGAGTTTTCTTGTTGAGTTTTTGTTTCCATTCAGTGTTTCTCACACTTTGTAAGAGCTCTAACAGACATGATCAATGCATTTAGTCCTCATAGAACATTTTCAGAGCCAATTTTTCTTCTGCATTGTTTATGATCCACATATAAAGTATTGACCCATAGTGCTACTAGAGATCAACAACTTCATAAGTTGCCTTTAAACTAAAAGTGCTCCAAAAAAGGCCAAATCATCTATGCCAAAACTGCACACAGACTGGGTGTAACCCAAAGAGGATGTCTAAAAACGCACGGTAAACTGGGTCAACAATGAGGAACAGCAGCCATCAGCGGAGACTAACCCACGGGTATTTCAGAAATGCAAGATATAGTAGATATCAACAAACAAACAAACTGTCATGCAAACTGCAATGTTACAGTCTTTGTGTACCGATGAGATGATGGCAAAACTTCATGTTTAATATCAGCAAGTAGCCTCAAGGTCAAAGCAAATCAAAACAAGGTGAAGCTATGGATCATCTGTGAGGATGAGAGTCTGATCAACATGTATCTTGTTTCTCACTTATATTTTGTTATTAGTGTATATGTTGGCAAAATAGACTGAATTGCATGAAAACACTAAGATTGTGTTTGCAGTACGTGAAAAGTGAGTTTTCATTATATATTTTGTCACCTTATAAGTCTCTTAACTATTTAAAACACTGATTAGTTGTGAATGTCCTGCCATACTAATAACTATAACTATAACCTAATTCAAAGGAAATCTTAGTAAATATAGTTGTAGGTAGGTTGTATAATATTAACAGATATTGTTTTTACAATCATAAACTGACCTCTGTCAGGCCCAGTCATCCAGCACTAGTCAGGATTTAGTGTAGAGCCCTGCGTGTTAGGACGAATAACATGTTTACAATAGTCGGTGTTTGAGATTCTTGTATTTCCTAAATGTCATGTACTTCTACTAAACAGGCAGCCTCTACCGTGCCAGCTTCAGCTTTTGCTCAGTACAAAGGAGAGTTGGTGATCTCTTTAAAGTTTGTCACACCTAAAAAGCCAACAACTGAGAAAATCAAAGGTAAGACAACAATAAGAAAACTGCATTTAGCTCTGGTTGTGTTTGATACACTTCACCTCAAATTTGTGAGAGTGTCTGCCCTCTCCTTGTCAGGCAAAAAACTGGTGACTGAAGAAGGAGGAGAACTGCATGTCCTAATTAAAGAGGCAAAGAATTTGATGGCAATGAAAACAGGAGGCACGTCAGATAGCTTTGTAAAAGGGTTAGTGATAATCTGTCTGCTCTAAAAAACCACACTCACTGTGTTTTCATACAAGCATTTCTCCATTTAAACTAACTTGGAGTTTGTTGTTCTGCAGATACTTGTTCCCAACTAAGGCAAAGACCTCAAAGAGGAAGACTCCAGTTGTGAAGAAGAACCTGAACCCCCACTATGACCACACATTTGTGTTCAAGGAAGTGGCTCTGGAGCAGCTGAGGGGGATGTGTCTGGAGCTGACTGTGTGGGACAGGGAGGCCATGCTGAGCAATGAATTCCTGGGAGGAGTCCGTCTCAGCTCTGGAAAAGGTGAAAAACTGACAGAGTTCAATAAATCCAGAGATTTTCCTTTTTTCATCTCCCCTTCAGTTACAGCTTTTTGTCCCTTTTGTTATTTCTTTGTGTTCTACTCAGATAGTTTCTATTCTATGAGATCTCTTATACCTTGTCTGTTTCATTTTAACTAGTCAGCACTTCATTTGTTTGTTGTTTTGGCCTTGGTTCACACTGAACTGTGTTGCTTTAGTTTGATGTCACAGTTGCAACTTTTTGCAGTAGAAAATAATTTTACTAGGTTCAAAGTTTTTCAGTTGTCAATTATATAGTCAGGTGTCCATATGAACAGGTTTTGCTTGGTGTTCACACTGGCCATTAAAATATCCTTGTCTAACGTGCTTTCGGTGAAGGTGATGGGAACAAAATTTGGCCCTTCATGTAAAAATTTAAGTAGAACTCTATCTGAAGCTAATATGAGGTTTAAACAGTCTGAGTTTGTCAAATGAAATGGGTGTCTTCCAAAGTCACGGCCTTTTTTAGTACAAAATTCGCACAAAAGAGTAAATTGCAAAGAAGGGTCGTAGTGTGGCGTAGTGGTCTAAGCAGGCGGCCCATGTGTAGAGGCTACAGTCCTCGCTGCAGTTGGCCCCGGTTCGAGTCCCGCATCGGACGGCCTTTGCTGCATGTCATTCCCCCTCTCTCTGCCTCCCCATTTCCTGTCTTTCTCTACTGCACTATCAATAAAGGCATAAAAAGCCCAAAAAAAATATACTTTAAAAAAAACGCAAAGAAGGAATTTTGGAAGAACTTTGGAAGATATTCACTTCACTTGACTAACTCAGAAGTCAGTTACCTAGCTATTGTCTTAAAACAGACTGGAAAAACTGTGAACCTGTCCTTCAATTGCAATTCAGTGTTCAGATCATTGTTTTGGGACCAGGGAGGAATCGACTTTTTAACTTTTGTGTTGCTCTCCCAACTCTCTAACTTTGGAATGAAGGTGAATTTAATTTATCTTCATGAAAAGAGAAAGTAACACTATTTTCATTAATAGCAGCTTAATAGCCTTTATGAGAAAGTCATGCTCAATTTTATTTTACTGCTGAAGTACCCACAAGGCTTCCATGCCTTTTTCCCCAGTGTGACAATTAAGAGTGTTCAAGGAATTTGCCATCATTAATGATAACAGACTCTGCACTAATTTTGCATTCACTGTGTAATCTTCACCCCTGCAGGCACTGTTAAAATAGCCAAGGAGGAAGTGGAAATGGACTCAGTTGGAGAGGAGGTCAGTCTGTGGGAGAAGATGATGCAGTATCCTGACTCATGGGCAGAGGGCACTCTTCCACTGCGTTCCACTATGGGGAAGGCTAAAGGCAAATGAGGACAGCTGCACAGGCCTGGACTTTCAAAGAAAAGAGACTGAAATGGGGAGCAGCTGTGGCCTCAGAGACAAACATGAGATTGTGGATTCATTTTATTTTGAAAGCTTTTCAGACCAGAAGCTTTTGTACTGAAGTGAGCAGACTCAAAGCTGATCAGCTGTAAGCAGGCTCACAGTCTGCTGGCCTGCTGGCTTGTCTTCCTTTTTTCCAACCCAGTCTAGATGAACCACCGCCCACTTCCGTATGGGGTTAGGGTCGAGGCTTTCGTCATACGGAAGTGGGCAGTGTTCCATCCAGACGGTGGATGCAGCCTCCTGAATGTTAAACATCTGCTCGCACCTGCCTGCCTCCCTCCGACATCCCTGACTGCAGACTGTTACTGCTGAAAATGTGCCAAAGCACGCAACACTAAACTCTTTATTTTAAAAGCACTGACACAGTCTTATGTTTTTAAAATTCAGGCTGTATATATTATTTTGATTAAAAATCATCCACTTAGCACAGAAACTGTCACAAATGTGTCGCCCTTTTTCTTTATAGTTGTGTATAGAATTGCACTGATAAAAGAGGAAACAATTCATTATAAACTGGTATACAGAATTTCTGGTGTTGCATCCAACAAATTGTGCTTAGTTTAATCTACATTGTATTTTACAATAAAGCTATCATGTAAAATTATATTTATACAAGTTGAAAAAGAATCTTTATTGGAAATTATTAGTCTATTTTCAGATATAAATGTAGATTTGTAACTTTTAACTCCTCATTGGAGTGTGATCAGAGTCATGTATATTTCAGAGTTCTGTTCACCCAATAAAGATTGACTAAACCGAAGACATGCTTGATTGCTTCAGCTCTATATTACGCTTAAATACCAGTTGGATTCTTTAAATTATCAGTCCATTCAAGTGCCCCTCAGTAGTCTTTTGTAGCGATGGTTGTTAATTATAATTTTAGGTCCTTTAGTTCTCACTAAATATGAGGTTACTAACAGAATTTCTTTGGATAATCTATTTGTTTACTGATAGTTTCTCCCTAAACCTTGTTTGCTATGTTTTTTGTATCTCTGGTGCCCTGCATGCCCCTCAGCCAATGACTTGATATAGACAAAATAGGGCTATCAATTCAGTGTATAATGATCATGTTTGAAAACGAGGAACTGCTTTCTTGTGCTCCTCCCTCCTCATGTTTCTCTGGACTTGCCCTCTAGCTATTTGTGCTTCCCCATCTTGTGATAGTAATACTGATGAATTTATCACTGTGGATTTAGCAGCAAATAATTCCAGGGTAGCAGTAACTGGATTTTGACAGAACATCAATAGTAAACATCTGGCTTTAATTCCCATGGGAATCAATGAGTCCATCATTTTATTAGGAGTCTCTTGATATTTAAATAGAGTGAGGGGAAAAAAACCCTTACTCTTAATGTGAATGGGAGTTAGGCTTTTTTTTAATTTTTCAACTAAATTAACTTCTTTTCCCCCCAGAAAGAAACATGAAATTGCTGAATAACTAAATGATGAAGCATTACCTAAAACCCTCAGTGACCTCATGATCGGGGGTTCATGTCACAGGTCGAGTCCACAGTCTGCTTTCTGGTGGAAACAAGACAAAGCAGATATTGAGGTTGCTGTTGTTTGTTAAACTCCATTAGAAACTGCCATTTGAAGTGAATTGATTTTGAGAGGGAATGCTGCCACCTTGTGGTAAAACATGAAACTGCCCCTTCATTTTGATCAAGGCTTTTTTTCTTATACAAACATCATCATCTATATTTTACTATCTTTAATGCATGAAATACGTTTTATTCACTGAATTTAGTCAACAGATAAGATTTTTTTCCTACCAAGGCAGGATCTTCTCTCGGTTCATGTGAGAACAATTTAGCTTTTAATGATGAAAACTGAAGTCAAACCATTACTATTCTGCAAACTTATTCAGCTTATTCATCTTCCGTATCAAAATTTCGGCGCGTAATTAGTCCCGGAGGTTTTAGAAAACCCAGACAATATGTCAACACTGTGCGGCTCGATCGGGAACGGTGTGCTATGACTTTTCTGAGTGATTCGAGTAACCATGGCGACGTAAATGGCGAAAAAGGCGAAAAAATTCCCATAGAGAATGAATGGTGAGACGTCGTGAAAACGACCAAACTCACCCCTCTTTGGGGCTCTACTGCTGCGTCATACTGTGACGTAGAAAAATGGTTGAAACGTTAAACAGGTCACAAGACTTGAGACTCTTCTTGGTTAAATCGGTTTTTGACAACTTTTGTGTCATTTTTAGTCAGTTTCAGATTTTATTTAATGGGTGTGTATTGCACTGAATGTTCAGAGCTGGAGTGGATGACATCACGTGCACTCTAACCGCCATCTCTGAAAATTTTCCTAAAAAAAAATCAGACAAACTCTTTTAAATCCCACAATTCCCAACCTTCACTGACAATCTTTATATCGAAAATGTAGAGAGATGTCCTGTATCACCCTGTTTTGGTCTCATTCTGATATATTTTACAGGTTCTGAGGAAACCCCCACTAAGTGCATAGAGGACTTTTAGATATATTTTATCTCATAAATCTGTGTGTTTCATTAGTTTTAGCTCAGTCTGAAAAAAAAGAATCAAATGTATGTAAATGTATGTATTAGGAATTTTGAAATGTGGGTCCTGCAGACCCTTATACCTCTCATCATTCTTTGCAAATGACAGAAACATGCTCAGGACTGGAAAGCTGTTGGTCTTTAGTGATCTTTAGTCCTCCACCGCTCACATAGACCTCAAAATGTTTCAAGGCCCAAGTAAGAGCCCAATATCACCAGTACCAGTCTGCAAGAGGACAGTTCCAGCTCCCAAATTACTGGCATCTACCTGTAACTGAAAAGGGTTATCACCTCGGGGAGCTGCCAAGACAAGAGCAGATTAAACCAGATTTTTTAACATTTTCAAAAGCGCACTGACACTTATGGGACCATTCAAACGTGACTTTGTAACTCAACAGGGTATAAGAGGTGCAACTAGAGTGGAAAAATTTCCAAAAAATCCTCAGTAGTACCCTACCATGCCCAAAAAAATGCACCAGCTGTTTTTCAGTGGTTGGAGATGGAGACTGATGTAGTGTCATTTGACATTTCCATATCTTGCATAATCTACATGTGATGCAGATGTTCCACCTCCTCCAGAGCACTGACTAGATAAACTTAGCCTCTGATTCCTACATACAAATTCTCTTCAACAAAAATCAGCAGTTTTTGCCTTTATGAAACACTGTTTTTAAACTGTTAGTATTAGTATTCCTCTCGATAAAGTGATCTACGCAAAGGAATAAAACAGTGAACTGTGACAAACTGAGTCAGAACTGATTTAATTGTATTTCCCGTTTGCACTCAACATATATAAAGACAGATAATTACAAAAAAACCCAGGAGAAGATGGTGGTCTTTTTTCTTAAAGTAACACAAAAGAGTGAATTAAAATCTCAATTAACATGATTTATTTGACTAATGGTGTTAGTCGATATAGTAGTGTAAACTGTGATTAAGCAAAGAGGAAGCAGTTTTACAAATTAAAGTCCAGCAGATGGTCGTGAAGGGAAGAGACTGATTTCCCCCCTTGGTGCAGATCTACAAACATCTTATGCAACAATACTGAGTGAGTGTTTCGACAAAGAGTAAACAATTTGTGGCATGTTTTACAATCCAGGGAATGTACTTCAAATGTGTCAAAGGACATGTGTTAGTGCCTTGTTTTTGCTGTTTTAAGGTGAACTCTTAGACAAACAGGAAAGAAAGTTACAAACATAATTTTTATACTATACAGGACAAGAAGCAGGAAGGCTGTGATTTCAGCCAGAGGTATGTTGGAAGAATACTTCTAGTAATTATTCAGGCCAGGCCGCTGTGTTGGAGGAAAAACAACAAAGAAACTGAAGGATGTCAAATATAGTGCTGGACAAGCACTAGCATCATCAAGTTTGGGTTTTGTTGTCATTGCTCAAACACATACGGCAGTTCTGATCTTGTAAATCACGACACTGAAAGACGATCTGCATCCAAGGGGTTTTTTGTGCGTTTAAGCTGCAAGAGAGTTGGCACAGGTGTGTGTGTATGGGGGAGGGTGGGGGGTACATCAGACTCTTCCTGACAGGCGAAGAACTTGAATTCCAGTATAAATGTTCACTTTGCGCCAGCAGCAATCATTTCCTACAGAAAACACACAAATAAAGGTGGAAAAAAAACAAGGGTTCAGAAGGTTATGGCGTCATAAACATAAAACTGGGAAAATAAACATAAATCTTTAAGTTGAACTGGCAGGAAAAAAAATGACTTTAACCTGTTCTACATGAGCAGAAGCAGACTCCTTCATTTAGTGCCGTTGTACTTGACCTCCTTCCCACATTTCTTCAGTGTGTCCATAAGAACCTGCACATCTTTGTCAGACTCGATCCAAACCAGTTTCTTAGGCAGGTCGATTTCAAACTTCACGTCTGAGAGAAGAAAAAACAAAGAGGCACTTTGTTTAACTTCAGGGAGCAGTAGTATCATAGATACCTTGCAGTGCCTTGCATGACTGCATTTGCAATTAATTGAATTGTATGAAGAAAAGATTCAAAACACTTTGTTATTTTTTATTTCTTGCTCCAGTACTCCAGTATCTTTTCACCTTTACCACCCTTAAAGATGTGGTTGATCAAAACAGGTTTGTTGTTGTAATGTCACAGTCCAGACTGTGGGACTCATACAGAGCTAGAAAAACTGAAGTGTCACTTTGGCATTTGACATTTTAATGACTAAGCCAAATAAAATTTTAAAACTGTATCAGGTGACTCACTGGCTGACTCAACATTCAGAGCCAAGAAGTCATGAGGTTGATGTGATGCAAAATGCCTTTAGAAATTTGTAAGTGCACTTTCTGAATTCTCTTATTGAATTCTCTGTGAGAAGACAGTGGAGAGAGCTGTGGGCTCTTTTTAAGATGATGCCATTTATTAATTTAACATTTCATATCATTTAACAAAGACAATGTTCATGTTACCAAGAAAATAATTTTAAAAATTGGTTTTAGGTGGGTGATACACACTAATGTATTCGGTGTTCTGCTGTTGGTTCCTCAACCACAAGTTTCAGTAGGAGGGCTGCAGACAATTCACTTCACTATATACAATACAAATCTGTATGTATTTCAGCTTTACAATACAAAGCAATGGGTGCAGAAAATAGAGTTAAAACACTGGTAATTCAGGTTTTTAAGGTGAACTCCAAAGCACATTAATAGCTGATAAGTTGGGCAAATATTCAATTTAGCAATATTATTTTATTGCTTATGTTGTGAGCTAATGTTGTGCCATTGAGGTCTGAAGGGGACAGACACCATAGTGTAAGTTGATGCTATGACTGGCTGCCATTTAAAAGAAGTCATAACCTTCAAATTGATATATCCATATTATCCTAACCCTAACCCTAAATTACACAGACAACATGTTTGCCCTGTATTGATCTATGCTGCCATGCAGAGAGGACTGAAATAAGTTGCAAAACTGTTGAGTCTTTCAGATCATATAGTCTGAAGGGGAAGAAGAGCCTCACCTCCCAGTTTGTTGAGGACTCTGGTAACAGCTCCTGAGCATCCCTCACACGTCATCGCCACCTCAAACTCGTGCTTCTGTTAGAGACAGATTCAATCATTTGCTCTTATATCACTGTGTGTTTCATCATATTTGTCATGAAATTCATTGCATGGACACCTCAGTTGCAGCACAGACATAATCACTAACTGGCAATCACATACTGTGAGATCAGATTAGCCGCAATTAATGTGAGAAACAATGTAGGTCTGCAGCTAACTACTATCATATATAATCATACGATTAATCTGACGTTATATTTTTGCTTAATTGATTAGCCTGAAACAAGAATAAAGTATCAAAAATTTCATTGAGTTGGAGGTGACGTCATCAAATGTCTCGTTTTGATCTACCAACGTTTAAAAAAAAAATCAGTTTACAATGATTTATAATCGTCTCTTTTGAGGGGCTGAAATCTGCAGATATTTTGCTTTTCTTCACTATTTTTTACTTGAAAACTTAAAAAACTGAAAAGACAAATATTTTATCGCAATAGCAGCCAATCATTTTTCTGACAATCTACTCGTGTAATCTTTTGGTTCTAAAACAAATCATATGTCATATGATTTTACTGTAGCCTAATGTTAAAAGAACACTGCGTCACCAGATAACTAAAATTGTGCATTGTGAGTTATCTATGTTAACTTAATATGCTGTTGGGATCACGCTGTAGTTCAATGAAGTCTGTAAACAGTCTATTTTGGCTTCTAGCGAACCATGGTTATCAATAGAAGTTATCGGTAACTTATAAACGAGCTAAATACGGTAAGTTTGACAGCTAGCTTGCAGGCTACTTAGCATTATGGAGCGGAATGCTATCTTAATTAAAGCTAAACTGCACAACAAATAAAATATGGGTCGTAAAAACTCACAGTCATGTTCGAAGTGATGTGTCGCAAACTGCTGTCAGACCAGCTGTGGACTTTCGACTTTGAATGTCTAGCAAATGAAGTAACTACTGTGAAAACCTCCAGAGATGTCCAGTACCTGTTTAGCCGGTTAGCGTCAAGCTAACTTTCATCAGCAACAGGATTTCCGGTGTGACAAATTAAGAGAAATACGTTGACATACATACATTTTTATGTTGCAACATGTTGCAAGTTAAATATAAACATTTTAAAAAAGTATATATTCATATATAAAGATTTTAACGCACAAAAGACACAAAATAAACCTAACCCTAAACAAAAAGACCTTTGAAAATATCCATAATTTGCTATTCGGTTTTGTTTGAAGAAACATTCATTTATTATGTAAAGAAATCTGTCATTATAAATTGTTATGAAAACGGAGGTGTCGGTTTTATTGACTTCATCTTCTTCTGTTTATTATTCCTTGGGGTGTTGGTTCACCTCAGTCCTGTGTGAATATGTTTTGTTGTCTACTTTCTAAATAAAGTTTCAGAAAAAAAACAATTCTTCACTTCCTCTTTTATTTTGGCTTACTTGACGCACAGCAAACGATCACCCCGGTGAATTGCCTGGATGTTTTACTTTATTGTTTCGCTTTCTGCTGATTGTCTAAAACCTCAACTGTCTTTTCACTTAGTTATTTAAACAAAATATACAAGCGAAAGAGAGGGTAAATGAAAGACAAACTGCATAGAGAACTTTAAACGTAGCCTCAATGTTGTCTCGCTGTCCCGGTTCTCAAACCAAGCGCTTCCATTCTGTTACATTTTTCTAAAAATAAAAGCCCGATGGAATACAGACTCGACCAAAGAAACACAAACAAAACGTGCTTTTGTTAACAGGTTGGACATTTTTTTTTTTTTTTTCTTATTATATTTCTTATTGTTTCAGATTGTTCTTATTGTGCAAAATTCAAGTACATACTTTTACAGATTTTTAAGGCATACAAACTACATTTTCAGCTTACATTCATGTTGAACAGTATTAAAGATAGAAAAAAGGGAAGACAAAAAAAATTGCCTTCTGAGTGTCTGGGAAATAATGAACAATGGACGTCAATAGGGTCCAACAACAAATATTTGCCCCTCAGGGCCCATAAGAAGTTAATCCAGTCATGCTGATAAGGGTGATAATAAGCATATTAGTGAACTGCTTGTTATTTAGATTGATAACTTCAATAGATAGTGGTCTCATGACTGAATCCAAGAGATAAAGGCAATTCCAGTTCTCCTTTAGCTATATTTTCTAAATGAGTAGTTGACAGTAGTAGAAGTTCACGTAAATCTCCATATTTAGTATGACCATCTCTGTTCCCTACAAGGTTAAGAGGGTTCAAAGGGGGAAATACGTCAGCTTCGAGTTTTAAACATTCTAACGTTAACGCTGACAGTTACAAACCGTCTCCATGGCAACAAGACGTCGAACACTAAGACCAGAGCCTGACCACGACTACACTACGTCCTCGACTGGTCCGGTCACGTGACCACCCCGCTGGCTCACTGACGCTGAGAGCCGAGCAGCGGAGAAGTGTTTGGCTTTCAATCGGTGCAGTGTTGCCGCCGCGCTGTGTTCAATCACCAGACATGATTACGATATGAAAATTAGAGGTCTGCGGCGAAGTTAGCCTCTGGTAGAGCCAGCCAGGACCGGAAAGAGAAGACAAGGTTGCCCTGAGGTAGGTTGGTGTACGTGGTGAGCCGTGTTGGTGGGTGTTTACGGACACAAATATGGCATCGGGACATATAGCTAACGTTGGCTAACCCTAGTTTTATCACACATAACGTTAGCCGAGCTAGCTTTAATGTTTTCGTCAACCCGCGGTGAAATAAACAGGTAACAGGTTATTACTAGAGTATAGCTGTTCCCATTTTAGCTCCCGTCGCCCTTTCTTGCTATTTCAGTCCCCTCTCTGATTGTGTCTTTCTCGGAAGTAAATAGCAACTAAACCGTTTGTGGACAGCCCTATTTAACTGATTTCTTAGCACAGCACAATTAATCATAAGCTCATTTGATGGTGTAGTTTCCTGGCCAGATCCCATCAGTGATGTTTGTCCCGACTGTTTGCCTTATCACTGCGTCCATTGAGGCGACAGAGACACTCACACGTCTCCTGGCCAAAGATTAGTTTAAAATAATGGGATTATCGGGTTGATCTGGTCGGTCTGCAGTGTGTATTTGTGTGCTGTCATGAAAGGACAACATTTAGCATTTGAAAACATTAAAGAAAAAAGGAAGGCGGACAAACACAGTTGACTTAGTTTGGCCGCACCCTGATTAAACTGGAGGGTGCTGTGTGTCTGTTAATTACTAAACGCGGGACGAGTATCAGCTTTAATATTGATATTCAAAACTTTAAAGGTAAAGGACACTATTTACACCGTAGCCTGTGTAGTTTTTGTTGCTTGAGCTAAAACGACTTCATGTCTTCTTTCATTATAGAATGAAAGAAACAAAAACAAGAAAACTGGTGTGTGAGAATCAGAAAGTATAAATTTCAGTTTCACATTTAAAAAGGCAGAAATAATCATGTTATTCTAAAATTAACCTCTTAATGACAGAAGTTCAACACCATGTTATTTGCATTTCCATGATACTTAGTTTAGTTCTCTCATGTCATGGTACATTATGAAAATGGCTGAGTCGCTTGTACTTGAGAGACTTTGGCCTGCACACAGTTACACTGTAGTTGTGGAAATCACAAGTCTTTTCTGCATGCTCACTGAACCACTAGTGAACAACGTCTCATCCCCAAGTCGAACTGCCAGGGGCAATCAAGATTCACTTTATTTGGATAGTAGTTCTTCTTTAATATATCCCTATTTAGTTTTACAGTGTAATGTTCACAAATCAATAGTTTACAGGGCTAATGTAAGGTAGATGCAGGATAAATGCCTCAAGGGGGAATCGTAAAACCAAATTTGTTTTGCAGGGGTCTTATTTAGTTAGAAGTCCAAGTTGTAATTTTTCCTATGAAAACAGACACCCAATTTAACAAGTTGTGCTGATCCTATTATACACCAAACAAGCAATGCTGCGATGTGAAGATTAAGGAAGTGTAGCCACTCGATGTTTGACTGCGGGGAAATACAAATTTTGGTTCCTTAAAATTTCTGTATATTATGAACTTTCTCTGTAGTCTTTAAAGCATCTAATCAGCAGGTGGTCAGCAAAGCCTTAGTACAAATCCATCTGTGATTAGAAACAGCAGCAGGTCATAGCGATGTTCTCACACACCCTGTTTGAACTGACAGCTCTTATGCTGCTCTTACGTAACATCATGACTAGGTGGGTTGGGTTAAGTACCTTGCTCAAAAACCATCAAACATACCAGTGTGTCAGCCCAAAGCTTAGAGGGAGAAAACGTTGCAGAGAAACAGCAGAGAATATTTTGAGAGGATCTGATTTTGTGTGTTGGTGTTGACACAGGCTGCAACTACCAGTTCTTTTCATTATTGATACATCTGCTTATTATTTATTCAATTAATTATTTTGTCTTTTATATGTAGGAAAATTGTGAAGGATGCCTATTATAATTTCCCAGAGTCGAACACAGTGTATTCAAATAGCTTGTTTTGTCTGTCCAACAGTCCAAAACTTTAAAATACTCAACTGTCACATATGAGAAAAAGGGCAACAGCAAATCATAATGAGAATTGTTGCATCTCGAGCAATAAAGTTTGTTTTTTCTCTAGCAATTAAGTTTACCTCATAATCACAGAATGACTGTAATGCATCAGAGGGAGTTTGATTGGATGATCTGTACTCAAAAATGTGTTTTGCTTATTGAGCTTCTCTCTGGAGAATGATGGCCAGTCAGGGTTCAACAGAACTGCACACACACTTAGAGTAGAATTTTCTTCACATATTTTGCCCAGAAGTTAAACTTTTTAAAAAAAACTAAAAATATTTGTATATCCAATGAGTAAGGAGTATATGCAATTTCAAAATGGTTGATATAACCTTTTTTATTATTATTCGAAGCAGAGATTTTTTTTACATGTCTGTGTGGAATCATTAAAGCTGCAAGTGTAGATAAAATGCAGTTACTTTTTATAGATTAAGCAGAATTGTACCAGTGATTGATCATATGCCCATATGTTTAACAAATTAAACATAAATTTGTCTACTTTCTTTGCCAAACCATTTATTCTCTGGTAGTAATTACTTCAATATCACTGGCTGTATTAGTTATTATATTGGATTGTTTTTATATGATTTTTAAATGAATGGGAAGATTTGCCAGGTAATGAATTTGCTGTATCAGTCAAACTTGGCCAGCTGGTAATTTTAACCATAAACAGTGTCTTAATTAAATTTTTTTATTTTTTTTTAAACAAATTCATCATATCATGATCAACATATTATCACGTGTCATGACAGATTATTTTGTCCATTTCAGCCACTCCCTCCTGTTATTCAAAGATCAAGCCATGACTGTAGCTTCCTTTCACCGTGAAGGTTGTGATCTTGTTTTCCCTGCTGCTGCCAAGTCTTACACCAAATTATTTTTTGTCTCTTCTGTCGTAGGAAGCTGTCAATGCTGGACTCCCTGATCTCCCAGCATTAAGATCCGTTAGGCTGGGAGAGAGAACACCCATCCGTCCACAAAACCACCTGACCCAACATGATGGCCTCCAGTGATGTAGACATCCGAGGTGAAGGTATTAAAATCAAGTGTACTGTTTTTGCTAATGTAATATTTGCATTTAGTCGTTGGATCACAATCTTAAAAAGTGAAGGACTGTTTTGTGGGAATGATAGTGTAGATATTATATAGTGTAGATCTATAGACACAGTGGGTCAGTCAATATTCGATAATATTGATTGTTGCGATATTTGAGCTCGACTGCATCGAGATATTACATTTTGAATATCGCCCAAGCCTAGCAGGTAGACACTGAATCATCAAAGTTTCATTTTATTTCATCATTTACAATGTTATATAACGTATTTAGTCTTTTAAGGAATATTAAGTACCTACTTCTACAATATGCAGAAGTACTGTAAAGGGTGTTTTGTTCTTATAATAATCATGTCTCTGATTCAGCCTGAATCATGTAAATATTATATTTACACTTTTCTTTCTTTTAACACATGTTGTGTGCGTGTTTCGGTTTTGTGTAATGTTATGAAATACGCTGAAAGGACAGTTTGACCCCTTTTTTCCTCTACCTTTTGCTCATACAGTATAAATGGCCCGTTCAAAGCCAAAAACCTTAAAGTCCAGTTATCAGTTTTGATCAGTCAATGTGTTTTTTTATACGCAGGCCAGCTGCTGTTTGATTGACAGCGGCTGGTAGGCTAGCAAAGTGCCAGTACGGAACAAGAGATAAAGTAAACAAACTTGCACTATAGCTACGTGTCATGTGCAAACAATTTGCTGTTAGTGGTGCTGAAGAGCGAGGAATACAGCAGCATCAAGTGACATTTACAGGTAAATTTAAATGCTGTTTTTAATGTGCTGCAGCTGACCAGCTACTTAGCTATCTAGCATGTAATAAGGTGTTTTAGGTGTGCACTCAACAGGCTTAGGTGCAGGACAAGATGTGTGTTCTAGTTTGTTAGCTCTGAGGGAGAATTTAGCAGGAGATGTGGGTTGTTCAGAGTCTGTGGCTCTTGTGTTTTAGCTGCTGCCTTCTGGCTCAGTTTGACTGTCTGCTCTGCCGATGATAGAAACACTGACATTACTGCTTTATGCAACAGTTGATTAGCTGTATTGAAATGAGCTCTCCATGGACATAGACAGATACCAGAATGATTTGAATTAATGCAAAACAAGAGGGCTCCATCAGGAAACCACAAAATATAAAATATATATATCTCCCTTATGGTTTCTGATTTTTTTTTCTCAGAGAAACACAGGACAGGTGATTTACATCAGATACAGTATGTATCCTGTAGCAGACAAAAAACATGCAGTGTAATTTCACTTGGACTTTCATGCTTAAAAAACATGCCCATCATCAGTATTGGTTGGTTAGTAGACAGGTAGCATGGAGGCCATTGTCATGGTAAAATGGTGTCTAGCTGAGAGGTTTTGAAGAATGAAGCTGTGGGTTCTCAGTTTCACTTTAGCATTAGTTTTCACATAGTGAAGAGACATTCGGCCTGCTGATGCAAAAAAAAACAAAACAAACTCTGCTCTTCATCCCTCCTATATAGAAAATATCGCCAGACAGTTCCTCTCTGCTTGTACAAATGCAATAAGAGTCACGAGAGACTATATTTCACTGATAATTGTTGTCATGTGTTGATTACCGTCAGTTGGTTTACAGGAGAGAGCTTTATAGAAATATCTCCATCAAATTAGCACACTGTGACTTTAAAAGTCACAAGATTTTTTTTACATGGCATGAGCCTGGTGCATAGCAGATAGCAGATTGAGGAGACTCAATACAGCTCTTCTTTTTAGTGATTGTAATACCATAAAAAATTTCCAGGGCCTGTGAAAAGATTTTAAATTAAGTTTGAGTACAATATAAAGTGACAAATTTTAACAGATCGGTACCGCTTGTTGTTCCAAAACATGCTGGTTCCTCAGGTGGTGCTTTGTCACATTGTCAGTCAACGGCAGCAGCCCTGGCATAGCTGCAATGCTCTGTATCTACTTAGATACTTAGAGTGACTTAGATACAAACATGACTCCAAATGAATGATAATGTTACTGTGGATCTGTTGCATTTGTAAATAGGCAACTGTTTGCTAACAAGTTTGTCATAGAAACCTTATAAGGGGATAATATGGTGGCCAAAAAATAATTATTTGATCATAATTATATTAATTAGGAATATAATAATTATTCCTCAGTTTATATGTAATTTGGTTTTGCTGCAGGATATCTAAATTACTTGTAGATGCATTATTTCTGTTTTTCTCCTGTTATGAAATAAATGGAAGCATTAGTGAAATGTAGACAATAATTGCCAGTAAGGAACAAGGAGGTGGAGGGACACAGAATAAACAAACTTGCACTGTAGCTACATGTCATGTGACAGACCTTATGTTGATAGTGAAACTGAAGAGTAAGGAGCACAGCAGCATCAAACCACAACCGGATGTTGAGATACTGTTTAATGTGCTGCAGTTGAGCAGCTACTTAGCAAACTGATGTTTGTAGTGTTAAATCAGACTTTTTTAAATCAGAAAGTGACAGAGATTAAAAATCTTAGTCTAATGTTGTTTTCCATATTACCAATTTTGTCTGCTGTAATCACACCAAGTCTATCAAATGCATAGGTTCTTGAATAATTCGTTACCTTTGTGAAATCCCTGTAAAGTGTGTAATTTGTGGCATTTTTTTCATTATTCTCCTTGTAGGTTCTTTGTTTTCTGACCAGAATCCATCAGAAATGGATGCTCTGTGCCCCTCTCCTCCTGGACCATCCAGACCCCAACGTCACTATGAGAGGATTGGAGGGCGGACAGGAACATCGTAAGTGTTATAAACCTAATATGCAGTTAATAGCCAACGCACAGTAACATCAGTGTCAGATGTAAATGTTTTTTTCCTCCCCCAGTTTTTGTCAGACTCTTATCCACCTGTTGAAGGGGAACATTGGTACAGGGCTCCTGGGTTTGCCTCTGGCTGTCAAGAATGCAGGTCTGGTGGTAAGTACACAGAGAGTTTATCAGCTTATCACAGCGGGTCACACAGCAGGTCTGGTCACCAGTCGTGCCAGATATATATGACATGATACAGACGTGGTCAGGCTTGTGCTGAAGTTTGAATTTGATGTAGAATATGTACAGCGAGGGAGTACCATCAAGGGATATTAGTTATTTCATGGGTGAACACGTCTCAACAAAAACATTTGCATTTCAAATAAGAATAGTTATGAGTGTTGGTTTTTGCCTACTTATTTTCCCTGTGTACATGTTGCACCAAAGTGAAACACTGTGGTCAAAGCAGTGAGATGGGCTGACAGGATAGAACATATTCTCATGGTGTCCTAAAATAAAACAACAAAAGCCAGTATGTTGTACCTTTGTACCCTTTGTTGTTCTGCCTACTAAGCTGATATTTATGAAAGTGTTCTTGACAAAGTTAAAGCCTTGCTAAAAAAAGAACGTGATAAACCTAACATCATAAAATTATAACTTTACAACATTCATCATGTTGATTCTCAAGAAAAGCTTAACAAAAAGTGAAATTAAGTGTTTAAGACTATTAACATCCTCACACCTCCTTTACAGTAATAACACTACAATACAGTACAATTTCAATAATAACAACAATGGCAGAGGCAAGAACAGGATATTGAATATAGACAGCAGTAGGGCTACAGTTAAGTTATTTACAATTATTGATTAATCTGCCAATTATTTTCTCAATTAATCAATTAGTCATTTGGTCTAAAAACCATTAAAAACATGTTAGAATAGTCCAGAACCCCGAAATATTCAATTATTCATCATGTAAGACCAAGACATCCAGCAAATCCTCATTTTTGAGAACCTCGGATGTTATTATTCCTGAAAAATGATTTAAATGAATAGTCTTTTGTGAAAATAGTTGGCGATTCAGTTTTTTTCATCGACCAATCAACTAATTATTTTAGATCTAGATAGCAGCCTCTCAGGCCATATTAGTAAATCACTAATTAATGTACTCATTCGGATATATAATGATACTTGACATAATTTATTTCAACTCACAGGACAATTTCATATTCACTCAGCTTTCCCTCCCTCCCTTTGTCTTTCTCTGTCTAGCTTGGACCAGTCAGTCTGCTGTGTATGGGTATCATCGCAGTCCACTGTATGAGGCTGCTGGTCAGCTGTTCCCACCACCTCAGTGTAAAGTAAGTAGCACACCTCAGAAAGTCTTAACACTGCAGTTCTGTCTCGTTCATGTTAACCTACTTCCAGCTGATAAAGTGGAGTTAAATAACAGAAAGGATTTCAGCTCTGAAAGTTCGATCGTAAACACTGAGGTTTGATGTCAGCACTTTCTCGCAAAGCAAAGGACTTCATGTACTCATCATGCACACTAATAGACCACAATGCAATGCAGTATTTGTCTTGCTGCCTTTTAAGGAAGGAATGTTTTTTCTTAACATTGTCTCTTTCTCATAAAGTGATGGGGGGGGGTGAAATGAAACCTTCTGCAATGTGGTGGAGCAGAAGTATAAAGTAGTTTAAAATGAAAAAGTTCACTCCTCTTCTCTGGGGGCGGAAGATTTGTTTTTGGGAAATATTCGATTTTTTTTTTTTTTATTACTAAGCTACACAGACATTTGACAGGTCAAAATAAATTGGGTTCTATTTAAATTCCTTATCCATGAGGCTTTACATTATTTTGTCTTTCCCTGTCGATGCAGCTGAAAATGTTTGTTTCTAAAATCCAGCCCGGTAATAATCTTTTTTTTTCACTACTTCTGTTTCCTCACAGCAGGTCCACTGTGGCTTGTTTCTGCTGAATAATATAACTCTGTATTTGCTGTAAAACCACAGCCTCTGCTCTGAATTCGTTTGTCATTAGTTTACATAGCTGTCCACTGTGCCAACAGTGACTTGTTTGTTGTTGCTGGCTGACAAGTTACACTCTATTTTAGCGTGTCTCCACCCTTTTCTGCTGTGTAATCAGTGGCATATGGGCACAGAGTTCTGCAGTTCACCCACTGAGGCTGTCATCAGCTCCACCGACAAGACGTAATGTAACTGTGATCTGTCATCGGCTCCTCCAATTAGAAGTGGTGCTGCAGTAAGCTTTGCCACCAGTCCAATTTCAAACCCTTAGATTATGTAATTGAACCAGTGAGACCATAAATTATTTATGATCCATTATAGGGAGTTACAACTGAGGTGATTAACACACTCGTTATCAGAATCCCATTAGTGTGTGTTGCAGTTGATGCTGCCTGTGACAGTGAACCTGCCCGTCCACGGTGTCTTCTGCCCTTTGCCCCGTTCAGACAGGGATATACTCCAGCCCCGCCCGCCATGCTAAAGAGGATTAAGAAGATAGATAGAGCATGAATGAACAGCGCTTACAACGAGCCTCAGTCAGGAATATATTCTACACAGAAAAGTCACACATCAGTTGAGAAATACAGTGAATAAATGCTCATGGGAAAATGCTGCTCTTCCTTTTTCTGAGGGTCCTTTACTGGAGAGTCAAAATCATCACTTCCTCCTGTTCTCTTGTTCACATGCAGGAGCTGCAGGTTGCATTTATTAAGGACTATAACTTCAAATATGCAGTTATCCATCCACGCATGGAAGAAAAAAAAATGTTCCACCTCTACACTTCATTAGATGTTTTACTCTTTCTTCCCCAACCTATGACTGTTATTCTTAGCAGCTGTAATGAACCATTTTGTATTCACCTATTGTTCATTACAACTACAACTACAACTACAACTTGCAAATTTTAATTTTAGGCTTTTTGTGGTTGTCTGTAACTGTGTGACTGCAAAGTGTGATGGTGAAGATGAATAAGGAGACATTAAGAACATGCGTCTAATATCTAAACAGTAATGCAGAATAAGATCTGTGTTCAGAGGTTGTCTCAGCTGCAGTTCTTCTAAAAATTGTATTCAAACAGATGACAACAATGTGAATGTGTTTCTCATCCAGGGTGAACAGGCCGTCTCTGACCTACGGTGAAGCGGTGCAGTATGGGATGGAAAACGTTTCGTGGCTGAGGAGGCATTCACAATGGGGAAAGTAAGACAAATGTTTTTTAAAACCTACAACTGTATCACAGTGTTGATTTTTTTTGTTTTTAACACATGATTATGAAAAGAGAACTTACTTGGTCATGTATGCATTTTAGCAAATAAGGATTTAGTTGACATTTTTAATACTTTCAATGCTGAGTTTTCATATCCCATGATGGCCATTGTTGAAATGGAGCAATTCTTTCAAAGAATTTCCTGTTTTGTCTAAAAGTGTACCAAATTACAAACTTACATTTCCAGGTAAATATTCAGAATTATAATACAGACTTGTAAAATAAAGTGTAACTAAAAACATTTTAGCATGAAAATAACCAAAATTAAAGGAATAGTTCAACGTCTTGGCAATGACATTGATAACACTCTCTTATCTGTGTAGTAAATAGGAACCTCCTCCCAGCAGGAGGTTAGATTAGCTTAGTACCAAGGCTGGAAGCAGCTAACGTGCGTCTGTCCAAAGGTAAAAATAAATACACCTACCGACTGCTAAAGCTCACTAATTAAAGCATATTCTCCAAAACGTGGAACTATTCCTTCAGGCACTCAATATACTCGAGGCACAAAATACTGCAGAAAATCATTTGCTTTATCTGTGTGTTGGTTCATGAACTTATTGTGCCAGTCTCAGTATTTACTGTAAAAGGATTCTTACCCTCTGTCTGACCTCTTCTCCTCTACATCTATGACTCTTTGTCTCACTCAGACGGACAGTGAACTTGTTTCTCATCATCACTCAGCTGGGCTTCTGCTGCGTCTACTTTGTCTTCCTCAGTGACAATGTCAAGCAGGTCATGATCTCTCTCTCTCACACACCCACGCACGCACACACACACACACACACACACACCACATGTGACTGAAAAGGCATTAACTGAACCTTTATTCAAACAACGTGCTCTCGCATGATTCCTCCGTTTTACACGTGTTGAAACATGTTGCTCCTTCTGAGACTGTTTGTTGTGTCAGAGTAACAAACAGGTTACTGTGTCTTTTACCTGCACAGCCCTAAAAATCTGAACATGAATGTGTGTATAAACCGGTGTCTGTTTACTTTTATTGTGGACTTGTGGCCTCACCTCAGTTAGGGTGGTCACATGAAGGTTATTTTCGTTTATATGGCAGTTTTCATAGTTATGCAAGAGTATTGCCCATGTATGTACATGTGCTCTCTGAGAGAGTGAGTAGGTTTCAATGTGTCCAAAGTTTACACATACCACACTAGATACAAAGAAGTAGGTCACTAGCAGTGGAGGGATAACAGTGATTTCCATAACATCAGGGAGGAAGGATTTACATGCACCAGCATCAACAGAACGAATTAAAATAACCCCAGTCCACATCTAACAGTTGTTGTAAATCTCACAGCGTGCACCCATAAAGCTACAAATGAATTTCTTGTACATGTGGTGGAAATAGAAACAAACTGAGATGCAGCTTTACAGGATTTGTATGAACTTTAGAACAATTTCACTTTCTCATACATAGGAAAACATCGAGATGGTCACATTTCTGCTTCATAATATTTTTAACGTATCTTTATTTTTATTGTCTTAAATTTTAGGCACCAAAACATATTTTTATGTGATTAAAAAACAAAATATTGAAACAACAAAACACCATGAAACATGCTTGATTGTTAAGATTAAGTTGTACAAGATCAGAATATTATCATTCAAGTCCTCTCTTCTACTTTTTGGTCTAGTCACACATTTCTCTATCATCCATGGTTGTTGAGAGGTCACAGGAATGTTTGCTTTGTCTATGATTGCTGTGACCTTTGACCCCTGACCTATGTACCACCAACTGACCCCTTGTTGTGGTTGAAGATATAGAAAGTTACACTGACTGAAGGGCTTTTAGGGAACTTTTCACACCTGGTTTTTAATCCATTGTTAAAGCAGAAAACAGTACAGAACAGAGTAGTTTGCATTTTGTGTGTTTACGTAATGACAAGTATCTCATTAAAAATAATTGAACTCTTTCTGCATTGTTTATTGTTCGATCCCTGGATTCTGGCTAGTGAAATAGCTTAAATAATTTGTGTAGCATAGTTTCTTACCACTAGATGGTGGTGTCTGTCTAGCCTCAGCTGACACATCAACCATATCAAGCAGAATCCAATACTGAGTATTGAGGGTTTTTTAAAGACATTTGTATCAAGCAGTCTGTTAAAACAGAGATATAAACATTTCTTTTTTAACTTTTGAACAACCATTATCCTCCTAACTCCAAAATCTACATAGATAAATAAATACTACAAACAATAATAACAAATGGCAGAAGAATACGGATAAAAGTTTACCAGCATACTCAGAGAAAATTTAATTAAAATACAATAAACAGATAAATAAGAAAAATTATGTGCTCCTTATGACACAGATGACTGACAAGCTGCTAATAAAACCAAACAAATCTGGACAGAAAACAACAATTTGAGACTAATGCACACAAGAATTAAAACAAAATGTTCTCCCCTTCTCTTTTCTGCCTTTACCAGGTGGTAGAGGCAGCCAATGCCACCACCTTCAGCTGCCAAATGAACCACACCAACCAGACACAGACCCTGGTGCCGAGCTTCGACTCCCGTCTCTACATGCTCTGCTTCCTACCCGCCATCATCTTGCTGGTTTTCACACCCAACCTGAAATACCTTGCTCCTCTGTCTCTGGTGGCTAACCTGGTCATGACCGCCAGCTTGATCCTCATCTACTTTTACTCCCTCACGGTAAATACCACATTTATCACCAGTTTCTCACCATCATCGTCTCCGAGCAACTCCACCTTTTGTCACACTGACTCATTTACAGGACATGGTATATATTGGTATATGATTGAGTCACAATAAAAGCCCCCCCATGTTTCACCAGTTAAACGCTTTTAATGTGAAGCAGCAGAAGTATGAAATGTTCATTTTGCGTTAGCAGTAACAACAACAGAGTTCACACTAAAGAGTGATATCAATAATATATGGTATCACTAAGATAAAATTGTGAGATCTTCTGCCCTGCTGCCGAGTCAACCCTCATTTCACTGCTTTGCTCACTGTACATTTCACCTTGGCATGTGACAAATAAAACTTTGAACTGCTGTTGGCAGTGGCAGCATCACTTATACCTTAAAACAACTGAAATGTTTTAATTTCGATTAGTTACTTTTATTTTCACTTTAAATAGTTTTATTATCTATTTGATTTGCATACATCAACATGATTGGAGGATTGATTTATTACTTTTTGCTGCTCTGCTGCCACAGCAAGACTTTCCCCTTTGTGTCTTTATCATGCACATGCATACATGTCAACACACCCTTTACAAACTCACATTCACAAGTGAAAAATTTAGTTTTCTCCAAAATAGCTTGATTTCTTCCTTATTATGTTTTACAACCACCCCCCTTAAACTCTTTTAAAACTTTTTTTCTGCGTGTTATGCTCTGTCTCTGTTCCTACTTTGCTGATTGCTCTCTGGGGATGTTATGGATAACAGGACAACTGGTAGTGACAGAGTCTCCAGATTACCTGTTTTACCGCTGAGTATTTCATCATGCAGCTTCTTCCCTTTACAGATACATAGCAGTCCCTGAGAAATGGCCTTGCCTTGAAAAAAAGCAATTTCTTGCATCAGAAACCTTACAAAGATTCTGTACTAAGAGATACATGTGGCCTGTAAGGTGTTTCTGTGAATGATGAATCACCCCAGCAAAGAATTTTGGGAAAACTAGAGCATAAAGGCTCCAAATATTTCAAAAAGAGTCTGGACTCCCTGGTTCAGCTCTGCATTTCACCCCAGAATATATAATAACATTAATGTGTCTCTTGTATCCTTGGTCCAGTTTCACTTTAATGTTTTCACATTTTATGGTTTTGGCTCATTAGTTTGACCTTTATTTTAAGAGTAATGCAAAATATGATCATACAAAGTGAAATCACAAGGACGTCTCCCCATAAGAGCAAAAACATTGTCAGCAGCTGTAAGTCCAGCAGACTCTACTGATGTCCCCCCAGCTGATTCATCTCATTCAGAGTCATTGTTTAACTGTTTCCAGTGGACTCTGCTGTCTTCCAGTGAAGAGTGAGTACAACAACTCACATTGTCTTGTAATCTCCCATCTGGGTTTATTTTGCAATCATGGCGGATCCCTGTATGTTATTCTGCTTGTTCCACAACTACTTATCAAAGGCCCTAATCATGTTGAGTGATTCTATTACAAGCTAATGTAATTTGCAAACACTGGGCAACAGATGAGTCCAACAGGACCAAGGAGAGGTGTTGTCTTGGCACAATGCTGTCGCTACTTAATGTGAATACTTAGTATCCATAGAGAGCATCTCTGGTCTGCAGGAGTGATGATTAGGTTTGGAACCCTTGTACAAACCAGCCAGTCAGAAGAGAGCATTCAACAAAGCTTTGGATTGTAATATCAAATAAGAAGATGGGATTTTTTACAGAATATCAATGCTTATATTATGTTTTCTCCATTTTCCCTGCAGAACATCACATACCCCTTCAACCTACCAAAAGTGGGCAGAGCTAAAGACTACCCTCTCTTCTTTGGGACGGCCATCTTTGCCTTCGAAGGGATTGGAGTGGTACGTGACCAACTGATGATAACTCAGTGAAGCTGCTAAAATCAGGGGTCAAACACATTAACATCTACACAGTTAACATCCATTTACAGCTGGTATTAACATGAAATATGTAACTGCATACATTATCTGGATTATGACACCTGGTCAGGGGACTGAATTTTAAACATGCAAATTATGTAGGAAGAGTTGGTGTACTTAACAACAAACATGCAGTGGACACTGTCTCTTCATCAGAGAATACACTAATATATTTCTATATCATGTAGGGACACACTGAGAGAGTATAGATGTAGAGCTTTCACACAATATATCATTTATGACAGTAGGCCATAAACCATTCTTTTGAGAGAAGCTCTTAAAATGGTAAATCATGAATAGTATCAGTGAGCAACATCAAATAGAATAAAACCACTTTACATTAGGGCTGCACAATTGATCGAAATATAATCGAAATCACAATATGGCCAAGTGCAATATCCAAATTGTTGCAGAGACACCCTGGCCTACAAATCATATTCTCCAGATGTAAAGAACATGTTTGTTTGGTACAAGACTCAACAAAAATCACATCTTCATCATTTACATTTTTTTTCAGTGAAAGTTAAATGCAAGAGCAACCGTTTCCTCTGAAATTGCATATCGCAATTGCAATATCTGCCAAAATTATTGCAATATTTATTTATTTTTTGCATATCGTACAGCCCTACTTTACATTTTGCACTTTGCAGTTATATTTCTTACATTTTTTCTGCTGTATTAGTGTACATAAATATTGAAATAGTTCTTTTTTTCCTTTTACCTTGAACTGCTGTATAGTAATATTGTCAGTTATATTCACTCATTCTTTTTAAGTTTCTTTTTTAGGCACCTGTATCCTTTTTTTTGCATTTTGTCAGCTTTATACCGTGTTAAACTGAGAGGTCCTTATATTTCAGTTTGTGCTGAAAAAAGGACATCTACTAGTTTAAGAACAGTTAAATAGTTTTGTCTTTGCTAAACAAAGACAAAAACGAATGCATAAAATCTGCATCTTTAAAAATGAACCAAGAACCTGAACCTGGATCCTACAGGGTTAGGAGAGGGGATGCTCCTGTAGGGTTAGGTGACCTTTAAACTTGAGCAGATGTTTTTTTCTTAAGAATGTGGCCAAACTGCAGAGATGTCATTTACACCTAATGGAGGTCTGTTAACAATATGAGTCAGGCCATGATACCAATTCTAATCACAATTCACTCTCCGTGCAACCTGCATTAAAATGTGTTTGTCCTAATCCAGATGAAATATTCAGGTGCAGATGGCATGTTTATACCGGTTGCAGATATTCAGCATGATATCTCATGGTTCTTTTAGCAGTTAAGAATGGAAAGTCATCTAAAATCAACAAAGTATGAATTTCTATTGGCTTTATCATGTTTAATTTATGTTTTTTTTTTTGCTCCATATGAGAATCCGTGTGTTCATATCACTTACATCAGGGTGGAACTTTAAGCTTTGATGTAGGGAATGAAGTCAGACCTTACGGGAGAGTAAACCTTACCTATTAAATGATGGTTTTCACCCTCGGCTAATATGTGAAGCAGTCATATTATGTAGGCAAAAGCAATCTCTTCATTGGTATTCAATTAATACCGCCCTGTGTACTGGAGAGAAAATTACACTTTTCAAAATGTTGAGTGCAGCACAAGAGAGCCTCAGTCTTTTTCTGAAATGTCAAAACAAATTTAGCTTTCATTATAACATCCATCAGCCCAAATCAAGACATCACAGGCTGAGAGGAAGTGACATTTTAAAATGGAAAACTCACAGGAACACTGTGAAGGCATGTTTCACTCCTTCAGACTGTTACCTCTAATGTAGTTCAAATGTCATTGAATCATTTCGGCCCGTTGTCCTGTTAACAGTCTGGTTGTGTCTTTGTCTCTGTGGGTCGGCAGGTTCTTCCCCTGGAGAACAAGATGCAGAGGCCTCAGAGCTTCACTCTGGTTCTGTATATGGGGATGGGCATCGTCACCTTCCTCTACATCAGTCTCGGCACCATAGGATATATGTGCTTTGGAGAGCAGATAGGAGGGAGCATCACTCTCAACCTGCCAAACTGCTGGTAAGATAACATCAACATTCACCAGACTACACATAGATGTTGGTGCTGATTTGCAGCTGCTGAGTACCTTGACTTGATGTTAGATAGTATGCTGCTCTTTTCTATGTATGTTTATCTTTGTTTCAACAGGCAAAACAGAACGCTTTTAAACTTTCGTAGCCAGTAATTTGAGGCCTAATCTTCAGTTTGAAAAAGGTGCCAATACAGTCCAGAAACACCTGCTTCTTTTTAGTCTACGCTGGTTGTCTGCAGTGTTGGCACTTACACGCGGTGTCTGTGTACTGTCCGACAGTCGTAGATTTTCCTGACACACAGATGCAGATACTATTGATGAAGTTACAAGAGTTTTTGTCCCACCACTCTCTTTACTTTACCTGTTGGATGTTGGTTCCATGTACATACAAACACAAACATGTTTTTTTTAATCACTGTTAGTCAGACTATATCATTATATGTGAAAAATGATATAGTTTGTAGCTGCAACCATTGCTCAACAAACATTAATGTCACATCAACAACAATACAGGTGAATTTTTGGAGGAGCGTGCTCCTACGATGCCATCTGGTGGTGGGCTGCAGAAAAAGTAGATACTCCCTCGAGCTCCATACAAGACAGTAGGACAGGATTCCAACAACTTACTACTAAAAAGTCAGTCAGTTCGCCCACAAAAGATGATTTTATCAGCTAATTTAACCTCTTTTAATAGGTTTTCGATTGAACAAATGATCACACAGCAAACCTGGGAGTAGGTCTTATCTGAGCAAAGAAACACCAAACGTTCTGCACAGGGAGTATGAGGAAGGGGGGGGTTAGCAGGAGCCCAGCTGGTAACTTTTGCCCCAGGACTCTGAGCAAGTCGAGTCCGAGTCTGTAAAATACACATCTTAGTGTATCATTATACTATGGATATAGAAACATCTTCAATCAAATCAAGCTTATAATACATCAAACTGACAAATTTGTGGTGTGTCGTCTGGTCAGGTTCCCAGCAGCTGTTATTAACACCGTTCATCTTCATCCCTGTGATGAAAAAGCTTGGCCATGATGTGTCCTCATTTTATTCCTTCTGTGTGCTCATTTTCTTTTTTAGAGATAATAAAGTTAGTAAAACCAAATGCTCGATTAGATTTGTTTGCTCATTACTTGTTACTATCATCACAGCTGCAGGAAACCAGCATCTTTTGAAATGCCTCCAGTGACTGGACTGATGTCACTAATTAGCGGAACAAATAGGCTGTTTAATGAGGTTGAAAACTGAAAGACTTTAATTACCAGTATCTGTATTTGAAAAAAGTGAGCAGCAGACAGTCAGTGTTTATTATGTGTTTTACAAGGACTACCAATTGATTCCTCTTCATCTTGTAATATGTTTTTGATGGATCCTAGTGCTGATGCTAGTTTTGTGTTTTATTAAAGGATTTGATTAGCTTCATTTCAGTGCAATAAACTAATTTGAACATGACTCATGTTTTTTTCAGCTGTAACTTTACTATACAACAGTTTTTATTTTGTCTGTGTAAGTCTGTTTCTGTTTTCTTATCTTACATTTCTCTGATTCTTTCTTCCTCTGTCATTATTTCTAGGACCTATCAGGCTGTAAAGCTTCTGTACTGCTTTGGTATTTTCATCACCTTCGCCCTGCAGTTCTACGTTCCAGCAGAGATCCTGATACCACCAGTAGTGGCCCGTGTGTCAGAGAGATGGGAGACAGCTGTCGACCTTCTGCTTCGCACCGTCTTGGTCATCTTCACATGTAAGTGTAAACCAGTTGAAAAAAGTAGCGCCTGATACCATACAGTGGGATGAATCGTGTGATTGAGATCAAAGAATTATCTTGCCAAAATGATTTATATATGTATTTTTCACTTCTTGAGTTATTTGAAATTTCAAAGGGTTCTTCTTTACGCAAGTCAAACCTGCATTGTGATGATGTGGTTTGATTTGGACTTAGAGCAGCAGGAAACAAGGAGAGAAATACTGCTGACATTTAAAAAGAGAAAGGGGAACAATCTGTGGGTAGCAGCTACATAGAGCCACTCCGATGCAGTCATCTGGCAATAGCAATGAGGCCCTTGTCAAAGTGGTTCAGGTCTTTAAACCTGCATATTTCTCTATCATCCAACACACTGACTATTAAAACTGACTGTTCACTTACCGTGTAATATTGTGCGCCGTCGTTACGAAATAATCAGTGTTATTTGTTTAATCTGTGAGTTATGTCTTTGCTCATCTGTGTATTTTGTATTGCTCATTTTAAATTGTTAATATAAAAGTTATATGTGTAAAGTCTTTATTTTAGTACAGAATAATTAAACTGCATTGAGTCATTGACTAAACCACCTGAGCCACAATTCACTCTCATTTACAGACACTCTGGAGTGGAGTGTTTGAACTCCAGCAGCATTATGGTGAAATGTTTTTGGTAGAGAGTTCCCATTTTGTTTACTCTTGTGCACATTCACAATGATGCACATTCACGTGCACGAGCACACAGGTCAGGTGATGTGACAAACATAGCCTACCTGCCAATGGTTTCAAACTGTTCCGCTGATGTACAGGTTGTGTTCCTCTAGTCGAAGAAGATGACTGCAAGTTCTCAACTTTCCTACCCATAATCCACTGGTTTGGCCTAGAGATGGTGGCATTAGTAACAAACAAAAAAACAATTGTCAGAGGGCGCTAAGAATCTACCTGGTCTCCACCTGTATCATCATTTAAGTAACAGTGCATAGATGCAGAATGGTCTGTGATCATCCTTCATTGCCAAGCAGCATTCTCTGGTCTCAAGCTTCAACCCAGCTCACCAGTTCTGAGCAGGAACAGGAGACTGCCTTCTGTTTTGTGTTTCCTTCCTGGCTGCTGTAAAGCTTTTGAACTTCCTTCTGTGGTGCGCCTCGTTTCTTTTATTGTATTTTTTATTAGATTTATATATACACAAAAAATTGAGCAGTGACAATCTGCATGCCATCTGGCACTTTAAAGGGGTTCCAGCCAACAAATGATTTTTTTTTTTTGAATGAGTCACAAAATGACATCCAGCTTAAAATGTGCAAGTGGACCACATCTACAGTCTGCCTCTTCTTTTTACAGTTCTCTCTTCTTGTTTTCGCCTTTGTCTACAAATGAAGTAATTTAACAGAGAAAATTGAATAATCGCATCCATGTTGGTGCCCATCCCAGAAACCTTGAGATCAGAGAAGCAAATACAGTATACACTCCGCTGCTGGTTTTGTATCTTTGATTGGTTTAGAATTAGTAAGAAAGTCTGTTGAAAGACGAGATGCCTCTATCCATCAGTAACAATAGTTTCAGCTGATCTCCTCCATCAGTTAAACTGAGGTTGATGGGAGCCAGTCCCTGAGGAATTACTGAGCTGCTACTACAACCAGCCCTTTGCGACCAATTATTTCCAGGTACTATGAAGCAGCAGGAGCTAAACTAGGAACTAAAAGTCCCCTTAGCGCTTTCCTGTTAGCGTTTCCTCCACATCTAAGGAACTCTGAAGATTAGGAAAATTAGTCCTGGAACATATTAAAAAACACTATAGACTCCAGAGTGCCTGTCTCTAAAGTAGACAATCTGTTGTGTGTTTTATGATTATTTATTTTTCCTTTTGTACAACACCACAATGCAGTTTGTGTGTGTACTCTTCATGGTTGGTTGGATGCCTGGGTTAGTACTTCTTCAGGTGTGTGTTTCTGTAGCCCAACAGTTGATTGCCTCTGAACCTTTGTGTGTGTTTCTGAAAATGTTAGTGTGCATCTGCAGTTGCCTGCATGTTCACCCAGACATGTATGTGTGCGGCACTTGTCCCCTGGCCTTTCTATGATGGAGTAGGTGTCATGTGAATGGAAATGAAACCCAGTAACTTAACAGCCATGTGTTTTGTTAACTCACCCCCCACCCCCCCACCCCCTCCTCCCCTACTTTCAGGCGGTGGCAGCAAACAGATCCCTGTAATAGCTCTGCTGAGCTATTCAGCAGCAATAATCCTCCAATTGCTATTGATTCCCATTCAGCCAGGACTGCTGATCCTTTAACTCTGCTTTCTCGTGCCTCCCTGGTCTAGACTGCTGTGATTCAGTGTGGAGGTGCTGAAGCATGTTGAGGTCAGTAGGGGGCAGACTTCTACTCATTTAAAGATCATTATGTTCACATTAAAGCTGCCCGGGTTGAGATTTCCAATCCATGTGTAACTAAGTGATAAAACAAATGCATTGAAAGTCAGGCTAGACTTTGTTCATCAGTATGATTTTTAAAGAGCTCATGAACAGTTAGCAGAGTTTTACCAACTAAATAATCTGCTTATACTCTATCAGGCAATGGAAACATGCTTCCTTATACTAGAAGTTAACCTTTAATTTTACCTACTTTACTTACTACTTTTAATTTTCCAGGAAACTTCTGTATAGATTTGATTTCTCCTTTGACCACTTCACCCCTGAAGTGCCCACTAGTAGTTGCATCTGTTGTAAAAATTACCATTGTGCAAACACAATGAACTTGGAGACATACCAAATTTGTCAGACTAAATCAAAGGGGAAATGTGTAAGTATAAGGTATAATACATCTGCAGAAGGAGTTCGGGACAGTCCCTGTGGACTGGCAGATGTAGGTGGCGGTTACCATTTTTAAAAAGGGCAACTAGAGGATGTGCTACATTTATCAGGGCATCGCACTGCTTAGTCTGCTCTGGAGGCAATTTCTGAACCTCAAATCTGTGTACTCATAAGGATACTAAAGTAGTTTGTTTATCCAGTCTGCCTGGTCTAAGTGGACTCAGAGAAGGTTTGTGATTGTGCTTTGTGGACAGTTCTTCAGGAATATGGGGTGCAGTGAGAGATATGTCTACGTCTATGTTCTTGGCAATAGGTCTAGAAGAGCTTCTGGTGGGTACTGCCAAGTTCAGTCTTTATGACCAATTATTCATGAACAGGAACTCTAAATGCACCTCAGGAGTGGAGTGTGTCAACTTTAGTGACCTCAGGATCCCATCCCTGCTTTTTGCTGATGATGTAGTTCTTTTGGCTTTATCAGACCCTGACCTCTAGCATGCAGTGAAGCAGTTGGCAACCTAAGCCGTTTCCAGACATGGGACACACAACGTTGTTGGCTTCAGCTATCTGTGAAAGTGATTTTTGTCATTCAGACCAAACAACAGTTTGTTATAGATGTTAGGACAACAAGAAGAGTGTACTCTGTTCTCTCACAGGCTGCATCACTGATGGATTTTAAAACTTATTTTGCTCTTGAAGCTGTAATTTATTACCATTGTGAGCACAATGAATGCTTGAAACCACTTACCATGCTGACTCATTAATACATTTTCACATCAATTGTGTCATTTATGTCATTACAGATTGAATACCACTGCCTGTTTTACTATATCACATCTCATGTTTAATTCCTATTTGCTCAATTTAGAGGGTGAGCGTTATTTTTCCTGCGTGCTCTGTGTTGAAAGTGATAAGGTCTGACCTAGAAAGATTGCTGTTGTGACATAAACCAGGGTGACCAGGGTGCTTATTCAGACATGAGACCAAAGGGTCTTTAGTGTGAAGCTGTTCGGATGAGAACATCGACTCCAAGTTTGAGTTCTTTACTTCTCTGGAAAAACTGTTTGCCCCATTTGTCTTGTGGTCTTGTTCAAGAGTGAAGGTAAGAGTGAGTATTAAAGGGCAGGTTGGTGTAGCATCTGCAGTGATACAGACAGGCTGTACCAGACTGTCACAATAAAGGAGAAGCTACACTTTACCTAGTTTTTCCCCACGAGCTTTGGAGAGCAGCTGGAAAAATGAGATAATGGATACAAGTGTCTGAAATGAGTTTCTTTCACGGGATTTCAGGACTCTCTTTTTACGTACAGAACGAGAAGCACATCTTGAGGGAGGTCTGAGTAGCACTGCCACTCCTTTGTATTAAAAAGAGTCAGTTATCATCATGGAGGTTGGTAGCAACTGATTGGTAGCTGGTTACAGGTCAGACCCAAAACACAATTTGGATTCCACCTTGCCTAGGATCACCTCAGGGTCCCCCAGAAAGAGCTGTAGGACATTGCTGCAGGAAAAGACATTTCAGCTACCTTCTAACAGAAAAAAGACCCGGAAAAGTGTCGGAAAATGAATGGATTAGTGGATAGATACAAAGAGCTTCTAAAGCAGCCGCTATATGGTTTAATCCCGTCAGCACACTCAGAAACCAATTCAAGAGGCGTTCCATTGATCCTTTCAGTGAGCCTGATTTTTTGCTTTGATTACATTCTGTAGCAAAATGTGATCGATGGCACAAATTTAATTTTGAATGGATGACACTGCCCCGTAACTAATTTTTAAAATGAGCAAGGGTCAGTGTTGTCTGTGTTGATGCTGTTTAAAGAAAAAAAGTCTAAAGGAGGACTTCAAAACAGCTTATTTTGTCAGAAACAAGGAGCTGAAGGAGTAATTGTGTTTTCAGCAGGCGCACTGATATTGATGTGTTTACAAAGAACACATATGTGTAGGCTAATTATCATATCAGTAGCGTAGTGGTGTGTTGTACTGATACTTTTATCCTTTGCTCCAAATTGCAGTTTGCCGAAGATTAACATAGATTTGCAAATTTTTGGAGTTGGGTCGTCAAGAGAAACGGCTGGTGGCACTAATTCTCTAGTCGGGTGCCATTAAACCATTGCAGAAGAATGAGGAACAAAATGATGTAATTAAAACAGTCTAATCTCAAACAGCACGTATATTTGTTTCATGTATTAATTTAAGG